TCAAAAGTCCCTAAATGTATACCACATACTGGAAAAGAATGACCGATAAAAGTCACACGCACTTTCTGCAGCCCAAAGTGTCACACTCAGCTTATCACTATGCAGTAATACTATCCATACGCCTTCTGCATCTCTTTCAGACGCTCAGCGATGACGATTTCACTGTATGCTATGGAGATTTATGGGCCTCCAATGTACTTGTACAACTTGAAGGATCAGTTCAATTTGTACGTGTGGACTAGCAAGTCTTGAAGATAAAAACCCACAGGGAGAATACTATCCATCAGAACACATACAAGATAACGCGAAATAAGGGACGTGTGAATGTGTGAATGGGGATATGAGTGTAATCTACTCTATATCCACATAGAGTCAGAGATGTTCGTAAAACGGAGTTGCATTGGTTTATTCTCGCGTAGTCTTGGAAAATGTTGGTTTATTTAGCAGAAGTCAACGATTTTCTTTCATGTTTGCTTACTAATATTTGCAGGAATGATTGGTTCTTTATTAAAACAACCCAAAACGACGTCCTCAACCATCGAGTACGTTCCTAAATCTTCGTGATGTCACGGTTTCTAAAACTCAAGTTATCATCTTAGCTAATATACGCTTCCTTAGACACAGGCTATTGTTCTTACGAAAAATTCGAAGATACATTATTTAATAAAACAGTCAGTAGGTTTATTGAGTATATACACATGTGAGAGGTTTTGTTCCAATATAACTTACACAGAAAGTATTTTCATTTGGGATATATTGACAAGTTATATTAAACGAAAGTTACCATCGAAAAGTCTGGAAATAATTGAAAAATCATTTAACATTCATGAAAACTCATTTCTTATTGTAGAAATTTTCTAAGATCTATCTGTACTGTAGATGTAGCATGTAGCTGCGTTATTTCTATTACATACATTGTACATTTCAGGACCAAAAAGTTCTCTAGCGTTTCAATAGTAAAACAAGTCGAAAAAGAACAAAACTATTTGTTCTATTAAACATTCGCTCTGAATAAAATAATTACAAAATTTTGTCTCGTTGGCTTTGTCGAAAGGAAAACTCTTTCTTTTAATTACAACTAACAGCGAGAGAAGTAAACAACACTGTTGATATCTTGCTATTCGAAACATGAGTAGCTTTCTTTTTGAATCGGATCAAAATAGACAATCATGTTCATGCTAAGCTTATGGAAGCATTGAAAAGAATTATTACTGCACCAATTGCGCTTGCACAACCATCATTATTATCATGAAATTAAGACTTTTTTTCTGAGATTAGAACCCCACATTTATATCTCACATTAGCCTCAGATACAGTGTCGCTTGGTGCGTTTTTAATATGGTAAATATTGTGATTCAGGCACTTGGTAAGGTGTTGTTTTATGTAAAAAGTCTGCTCTGTGTGCGATGCAAGCACGTATCATAATAGGCATTTTTAATATTTGCATTGCAACCAAAACATTTTCTCGCGAGTCGTCGTTGTGAAGAAAGAAAAAGAGAAAAAGGTACGCCAACAGAAGAAGAACAGAAAAAGCCATTTACCGTGGGTTTGATTCTTTTCTTTGATATTAAATCATTCTCGACGAACACATGCATCTATCGGTTTGATGACAACTATTCTTTATAAATAAAGTGTACGCGACCGAGTAAAAAATACTAATATAAAATCATTACCGTTGATTCGAATGTTTGTCAACAATTTTTTCTATTTTTCAAATGGCAATTTCTTTATATGTCCATGAAATCAAAGTCGAACCGCCAACAATAAGAATAGTGACTATATACAAGTTTTAGATGTGAGTACGTATAGTATTTCGAAACACATTTCAATTAACGTAGTGATAGTGCCAATTCATCATTTTCGGTTTATGATTGGCAGTCATTTACCAAGCAACGTGATGGTATAAAAATGGAAAAAGATGTCACTCAACACATTCGACGAGTCTCGAACATTATTCAGAAATCACACAAGCGACTTGTGGCAATTCGTGAAAGTCAAAAGAAACCTTACACACTTCATTATATACTATTCGTACATTCATCGACAGTCTACAACGTATCTTATTTCAACGTGCACTATAGAGTCCATTTTCCAAAAGTTTCAGATCTTGTGATAGATATTCGGTGGATTTCGGTTAGGTTTGTCGTTATTGCATTCAATCTCGTAGCATCGATTTTCGGTTCCATAGAAAACATAAGCAAGACGCTCAGATTGTGCTGAGAGCATGATTTTGTTAGAAGTGGTAAGTTATTTTTCACAAGTAGTAATTTTAGCTTACATGCAATATCTTGCATACATATTCAACGTCATTGTTTAAGAACTGTTTTCGTAAGGTTCGATCATTTTTTTGTTTGAACATTGAATGATCCTTCGAGCTGAATGAATTCTTTTTTATTTTATCGTTTTATTGTTTTCTCTTTTTTTTAATGAAGTAGTTGCTGCATGATACATCCAATATAGTGTGCCATTGCACAATGAGATTATTTGTTTTCCTTGGTTATTCATATCTTTTCATGACAAGTCCACCTCTTTTTAGTTTTTCAAAATACTTTGTATTGAAAAATATTAAATAGTAATGTAAAGGAAATGAGAATGTACAAAAGGCAGAAAAAAAGGACGAATGACAAAGTCGTTCGTTTGTTCTTACATAACTCTTTATAATGACTCATCTATGCTTGTTAACAAATTTCAGATAGGATGGGTTCGCAAGTCGCCTCTCAACAAAAGCGAGCGTTGGTTATCGGTATTAATGATTACTTCTCCAATCCATTAAGTTACTGCATCACAGATGCTCAAGCTTTCAACAGCGCTCTCGAAAGTATCGGATTCGATGTGAAACTAGGAACTAACTTTAACCTCAAAGAATTTCGTAAGACTTTCAAAGATTTTCTCAATGGAATTCGATCTAATGATTTAGTCTTATTCTATTTCGCTGGCCATGCTAAAACATATGCGTACGAGAATTATTTGTTACTGTCGGACTCCGCTGATGTTCAACGTAAAAGTGAAAGTAAATACATGACGGACAACGCCATCCCAATAGAATACATCATAAAACAATTAGCTGACAAAAAATGTGGTGCTACAATATTCATATTTGATTGCTGCAGGAAGTACATAAGCCCTATAGAAGCTAATGCTCAGCAAAGTTTATTGTCGATGAAAGCCCCATCGCAAACATTAATAATGTATTCAAATAGTAAGGGCAAAGTAACACATGGTGAAACGGGAAATGGCGAAAACGGCTACTTGATGGAAAATTTGTTAAAACACATTACAAAGCCCAATATTGAAATTACAGATGTGTTAAAAAATATTGATAGTGATATCTGCCGTCAAACCAACGGTTTGAAACGAGTATATCACAACAGTAGTCTCCAGAACAACAAAATCTTCTTGGTGACAACTAATGATCACGGTAAGAACTTGTCATTTTTATTTCTGCTCCATGTGAATTCAAACATAGCTTTGAGTTAGCGCTGCCTACTGGTAGGTTGAAAAAATAAAGGTTCGGTCAGTCCTATGGGCCGTTATTCATAGTCTTGAATCAACAATTCTATAACTAGAATGGCCATAGTTTAGCTCAAAATTAGGCTTGTGTCATTTCTTAGTGACGGTGTTTGACTCGAACAATGGTATTTTTGTCGAGTCTCAAAGATAGTATTGATCTGTCATTCTGAAAACACTCGCGCTGAAAATTGATGTTGTTCTTTTTCTTTTTATTGAATACAACAAGAAAATTTTTGGAAAGTCAAAAAGTTGCTCCTGATAAGCGTTTTTGCCAGACAAGAGCGAATCATATCTCATCTCATTTTCTCTCGCCAAAAAACAAATAAAAACAAATTTATGTAATTTTACTAGGTTCAGTAGGTAAGTCTGCGGGTGAACCGCAGTCGACTAATACACCAAGAGACCATACAGTATCTGATCAGATTCAAGGAAAAGAACAATTTCAACACCGACACAAAGAGTTTGACCGATCGGCTAGCATAGATGTCGTCGAGAAGGATACATCAGATCAGCCCTTCGTGCATCGTAAACAGAAACTGGCAGCTTCTGTAAGTCTAGGTAATCCAATGGATGTGTCCCGAGACGGAGAACCTACCTCTGGAGGAATGAGCAGAGCTACTGGATCTGTCAAGCTACAAGAAAAGGATAATATCGTAGCATCAAGATCACGAGGAGAGCATTCAAGTGGTCCAGAAGCTTCATTGCGTTCATCTAATACAAGCAATCTACCAGCTCAAATAAGAACACCGAATTTATATCTAAGTGAAATTTTTGGCGTTAACGAAACGATTAAAGAAGAGTTACGACTTTTATTGGAATATCTAAGGCGTCGACTGCCACCCATGGACAAACAAGGGCCGATGAGTGGCAAATGCATTCGTGAGACTAACCAGATGGTAGATTTTCTTAAGAGAAATTTTGGTTTCTATAATAATGGCAAATACATTGTATCTGGTGTACGAGAATTTGAACTGCTTAAACCTCTCTTAAAGATGGATTCCAACACAAGAATTTATTTTCCTCGTGAGGGTAGTGATTCATTTACCATGACTATATCGGAAATCAGGAGGTGGCAAAATTCCTTTGCAGTCTATGCTGATCAAACTACCTCAGGGATGGACAAAGACTTTCTTTATCGAGCTCTCCAGGGAAAAAGTAAAGATGGCGAAGAAGCTTTTCGCATGAAATTTGTTGTGCGAATTTCTGACTGTCCTATCTTGATGAAATTCGATGCGAAGATATTACCTCGTTCACTCGAAGAGCACTGGCCTAATTGCATCAAACTCGTTTCGGTGACAGGCGTCGACTTTGCTGGACGAGAACACGATGTCAACGATATCACAGCCTATATCACCAATTGGAGAAATGTTTTCGAGCTTGATCGCATCACAGGTAAGCCAGCAGTGTTTCATGGGAGGGACTTTTATCCAGTGAAGCCTCAGCCACCTGTCGTGCTTGACGAAAAACGTTTGCTCAACGATCTTATTCGTATGGTGCGACTACGATTACGAGCATGCGATAAGGAAGGAGTACAAATCGTAGTCGAGACAGGTATTGGTCTTGGTGTTTTCGCTGGCAAACACATTGGCATTGATGCCAAAGTACGGAATTTGTCTGCATATGCTGTTCGGCATGTACTCCAAAATGAACCAACCATGTTCAAAAATATCCGCGCTATTGTGTTTGCTTTACCGATCTTCTCCAAAAGTATTGACGGCCGTCAGCTTCCTGACACTTATCATGATTTTGCCAACGAATTTCACACGAGTCAATACAGTGGACCTATACCTGTGCTTATCGCTGATCAGGATATGCATGAATTGACGGTAGCCATTGCTCTTCAGGGCTTTCGTGTTTCTCAACTCAATCCAGCTGATTCACATGGTGTGTTTGGCGAATATTGGCAAAATTATGGACCAGCAGTCGAAGAAAAACTTGCTCTGACGACACTCGGTCTGCTCGTTCAACATCATCTTATTAATCCTTCAGTTCTAGATACGAGTAAATATAACATCATATGATCTTAAATATTTTCAAATGGCCAATGCTAATCTCTCGAACAATCATATTTTTTTTATCACAAGCAAACGAGTTCTCAATGAAACATAAGAACAACGCACTACTGCCACAAACATTCTTATTGAAGAGCAACATCCTTCTTTGACATATGGGCTCCAATTTCAGGATTTTTAGGAGCGTGGTCGTAGAGGCTAGTTTAATAAAAATGATACACTGCAGTTTTCCTCTTGAAATTGATGCTTGTCCGTTTTATAAGGAGCATTTGAAACTTGTTTTCGATTGGTACTCTTCAAATGTTGCACACGTACTCAACTGAAAATTCATAATTATTATAGTCGAATTGTACGTTGTTCATATTTGATTATATCTTAATTAAGCAGATTTCCACTATCGATCCTACTTTGTCGAGTTATTCGCTTGTAATATTGCCACCATATTTGCTGTGAGTGTAAGAATGTAAACGTGGGAATCAGTGAGAATGGAAATGGATGTATGAACGTAAGCATGGAAGCCCGAGGTTGATCCACATCCACATCCTTTGTATTTTCATTGCTCAAAACAAGCTGTCATTTTTCTTCTCGTTCGTATTTCTGTGATGAGCATACTAGAATGGAACAATCGGATGTTAACAACATTTTCTTGTTGCTTAGAAATTTTTTGCATGAATATTCTTTTTATTTTACGCAGTAGTATGTTTTGAAAAAAATACTCTACCGCGAGCGATGCAAATCCTATCTGAATGTTTTTGACATATGCTGATGCAACTTCGCCCCACTTCATTACAAACCTTTCTGTTTTTTTTGTTGAAAGTTGGAAAAAAAATGACTAATGATAATCAACAAAGTGCATCAGGCTTTGATTGTGTATTGCACTTCGTCTGTGCAAATAAAAGGAGCTCCTAAAGTGTCACTTGTGCAAATAAAGCTTCTCTTCTGCGAAAAAGAATGAAGAAAACGTGTGTAGAGCAAGTAGCTTTTGATTGGTCTCTAAAGATGATTCATGCGATGCTAAGAGCACTCGTTACCTATGCCTAAAGATAGGAAGCGAATCCAACATTTGTTTTGCTAATTTAGCCTAAAGGAGAAAATATTACGATTCAATAATGAGAACAATCATAATCTACAATGCTCATCTGATCTTGAAAAACTGCATGATTTGAACTAACTTCAATTCAACTACTATTCAGTTTCCTTAGGTTTAAGCTAGTTTTATGAGCAATTATCTCTAAACTTACGTATGAAACGATCGATGTCATTAGTTGCCTAGTTCGAGTTCGCATACAAATGAAGCTTTAGCTGCATAAGATGACTTTGAAAACCAAGCCGGCACTTGCTTATAGTAAAGATAAAATAATTTAATTTCAACTATGTAAACAGTGATCGTGATGCTTCCGATACGTTCTTGTATATCTGAATGGAACAGCTGCCTGGGGTGTGGGTGTTCAATTTAAACCCACATCCTCCAATCGATTCTTACTGAATAATCTATTGTTAGTTGTTTATCAATTTCAATCATAGACATTGAAGATAAGCACCTTTCTCGAGATTCAAACTCGAAATCCTAATTTTTACATTTGTTTTGGGTCCCCGTATTTTATCAGGTTAAAACTGCCATTGAGTTTCAGCTCGATAAATATAATAAACTTGAAACTGATATTTATATTGTTTCAGTTGAGACTACGCATTTTCATCATTTAATCGACTTAAATCGATTTAATATAAAAACAATCGATTAAAATTCGTTGGCAAGAAGATTAATTGATCGTTTGAACTTTCTCTGAAAAAAGTCGATTCTAATTGATTTTTACTGAGAAAAATCAATTAGAATCAGTTTTTACTTCAAAGTTAATCGAGATTTGGTATCGTTAATCAATTGTCGTGGTCTTTTTTTTCAAAAAAATCGATTTTCAATTGTTTTTTAGCGTCTTTTTACAGGAGTTTTCATTTCACTAAACACAATTAAAATTATATGATCTTTAATTCAATCTCTTTATCTAGTTCGGAAAAATTGTCATTAAGAAGCGAGACAAATAAAGCTGCGTATGTCCAATAATCAAGAAGTATTCATTTTACATTGAATTCGATATACTGAGAGGCGAGATTAGAAGGCGGATTGGGACGATCTCTGCATATCGGGAAATAATTGCCGTGTTTTTAGCAGTAACGCCTTAAATATTTGTTTTTACTACGCCTACAGAGCTCCAAAACATTTTTTATGCTCATGATGCCCAATTTCCGTAAAATTACCCCTCATCTCTACTGTAGCGTCTCATATCATAAAAAATCTTTGATCTACCCCTAAATATACTGGATTGCTACTGAAACACGTAAATTATTTTCCTGAAATAAAAATATTTATATTTAGTTTAATCTCGATGTTCTTTTCTTAAAAATGATAAGAACACAGAAAGAGAATTATATATTTAATCCCATTGCTCTTGGAGATATTTTTCATTGTACTTAACATATTTTTACTCTTATATAAACTGCATAAATTTTACTAAGAACCGAACTGAACCGAAACCAAGATCAGCGGGGTTCCTGAACAGAACCATGCCCATCTTTGGTTGGAGCACAAATTATTAACTGAAATGTATTTGTTATACTATGATGTTCCTTACAGATATCGAACAAAAACCCATGTGAAAAATAGAGTGACTGACCTGATTATAAAATAATGATTTATGTGATCTTAGGAGGCAATATGATATTTTAGATTACACAATACCGTGTATTATGTAGTCTAATATAGTTTATTTGAAAAGAAAATAAATATTACGTTTACATTGACTGTTGTAAATTTTATGAAGTTTTGTTGCTTTCAAAATCAGAAGCCATTAGCCTTTGGTAGCTATTAACGTACTGTCGTGTACTAGTATTGGACGATGGCATGTATGTACCTCGTTCCGTTGTGTGACACATATAAGTATTATGTTGTGATGATCGATAGTCACGTTCTGTTGGATAATGATATTCAAGATCTTTAATTAGCTTTTGACAGAAAGGATCTTGTGCAGATACACTGGCTTTGATCTTGTCTACTTGAGCTTTAAGAATAGCACGTGATTGTCGATAGTTATCCTCGGCCATTGCTCGTTCTAGTGCATGTGCTGTTTCTACTCGATTTCGTTGAATGTCAAGTATATGATTGACGCGAAGAAGTTCATCTGGAGGATGAGAACCTCGTACTAAGTTGAAAGAAACTGGATTCGTCGTTATTGTGCGACCAGTATTGGGATCCATATAGATAACGGTCACATTACCTATTAAGAAAGAAAAAAATGAACAATGATAATAATGACCTACTCAGAAAAAATGAATCAGTTCTTGCTCATATTCACCAATGATTTGATTTTCAAATAGTTGGATTTCTTCTGTAGATTGAGTCACTGACATAGGTAGTTGACTAGTCATGTCTACATTCTGTTCATTATTGTCCGTTTTAGGTACATATAATTGAAAAACAAGATTTCGCTTTTCTTCGGCATTCAAATCATGTAACTTGATATTGAGGTTTGTCGACGGTAGTTGTTCAGGTTCATATTTATAGTTCGAATGAACATGAGTGATCTTATAGGCCCCAGTAAATTCGATGTTGACATGAACTTGTTGTGCAACACATGTGAATAGACCACCCAGAGCCATCGCGAATGCAGAACCTATTGCTTCTTGTTCATCCTATTAAAAAAGTTTACAAACATATTGATTATCATGATAATTTGAAAATCAGATAGTCAAGCTCAACTTACAATGTAAGTGAACGTGCCTCCATTGCCTTGCTCAGCTATTCGTACCAGTAATGAGGCCGTATGATCGGATCCGTAACCGAATGTATGACATTGAACACCACTGGGTAGAGTTTGCATTAATTGCGTATAGTTATGATTTTCATTGTCTTGACCATCAGTGAGCAAGAGTAAAGCATTCAACGGATTTTTTGTTTGACGATTAGTAAACAAGTTGATGCCCATTTCTAAGCCCTTTCCGATGTAAGTACCACCTCTGCTGGTAATGTCATTATTGATAGCATCAGTCAATATTTGTTTGCTAACAATTGATCAAAAAAAAATCGTACGATTTCATTGCTAATTAAAAGAGAAGCATTTGACAATGGGAGCTCCCTCAGATGTATTTCTTGAATTCCTATTAGATACGAAAAAAACTTTCCGATCCAAAGTTATGAGTGTTAGTTTTGAATTCGATCGACGTTTTTTGATGTTCTCAATGCGATACATACAACATATGTTCTTAAGCGATGTGTATCTGATTTCGATCGTTATAAATGAAATATATAATTAATGGGACAGTTTCAATTAGCTGTTCACTTTTTCATCTATTTCTCAGCATAAGACTGTCAAAACTGTTCTTTAATAATTCATATCTGTCAATAGATTTGGATGCGATAACTTAGAGAGATGAAGCAGTCAAACATAGACCAAGACGATGTATGCGTCGTTCGCTTCCTCCAGAAATTCTAGTTACCTTCAGTTCGCTAGGACTTTGCATTTTTTCACTTACGAGAGAAAAAACTGGTTGTTCTAGTAAACTTGTTCTGTACTAGCATGTAGATTTATAATACTCTAACGACCTTTATTAATTGTTTTAGATTTAAAATCAGTGCATCTCAATTGATAACTCGAAACTATTTCCAATGGATAACCTCAACAATACGCCTAAGAAAATTTCCTGATGCGCAAATCCTAGACTCACTTTTGTTGATTCATCAGTTTGAGACCGTGTGAACGATCAAAAGCTTCAGTATTGAACGAAATAATAGCTAGCCGATCGAGTTCATTCATTTGTTCAACAATGTAGACCAGAGTTTGTTTCAATAATGCTATTTTCTCACCCGACATCGATCCACTTTGATCAACCACACAAACAAGATCAATTGGAACACGAGATGACAAGAAGGATCTGGCCTCCGCTGGTAAGAGGACAGTTGCTGCTTCAAGAGTAACAAGACCGTATATATTTGATTCTTCATTTGAGATTCGAGCTCCATATTCTAATGTCGTTGAAGTAGTTATCAATGGAAGATTGTCAGGATTATTGAGTGAAGCAAATGCAGCCTGACGAGCAACAGCGTGACGATCGCAAAGTTCTCGCACAGCAACCTCATCGATCAGATCTTCAACTGAAGGAATAATCTATAAGATATCATCACGATCAAATTATTTTTCGACGTATGATTGTATATATATATATACGCCTGGGAAAAATAAGCTGCAGTCTGTTTTTTGGGAATATTGTTATCATAGTAGCGTATTTATTAAAAAATAATGATATATTCTGAAAGCGCGTGCAGTTTTCTATCAGCCTATATATTTGATTTTTCCTTTGAATGTATGTATGATCAAAAAAAAAATTTAGTGTAATGAAGGCATCTTCATCTCCAGATTTCCACAGACTTGATTTTGTCTCTGTCACCAAAGTTAATTTAAAAAATTTTTCATCCCTATGAAATTACTTTTTGGAAAAAAATAATTATATATTCTGATAGAGCTTGAAATTCTATATCATTCTGTATATTTACTTATTTCTTTATATTCATTTATCGAAAAGAAAATTTGAGTACAGTGAACGCACCGTCAATTGACAAGTACCGGAAATCGTTACTTTTTTCCTTTTTTCAAAATATAGTTACTATACAAATAAACTTCTAAAAAAAGGAATTATAGATTCTTATAGAGCTTCAAATTCTCTATCATCCTATATATATTTTCCCTTGCCTTGCATTTATCTACTGAATGTGCTGCAGCACATAACTGCAAAATAGTTAATAAATATACAGGATGATAGAGAATTTCAAGCTCTATCAGAATATATAATTACGTTTTTCAAAAGATAATTCTATAGTGATAAAAAAATTTTAAAACTAATTTTGGTGACAGAGACAAAATCAAGTCTGTGGAAATCTGGAAATGGAAGTGCCTTCATTACATTCAATTTTTTTTGGTCATACATATATTCAAAGGAAAAGACAAATATACAGACTGATAGAAAATTCCACGTGCTTTCAGAATATATCATTATTTTTTAACAAATACGCTGCTATGATAACGATATCCCCAAAAAACAGACTGCAGTTTATTTTTTTCAGGCGTATATATAAAATACGGAAGTAACATAGGTGAAACATATTATTATTTACATTAACTGCAGGAATTGGAGTTGGGATTGTTTGTTGTTGTTGATGTTGTGGTGATGGCTGAATGGGACCTGCTAGTAATTGAACGACTGAATTATCAATTGCAGCTCGACATAGTGGACATTCTTTATTTTTTGCTTTAATGTTCGATGCTAAACACTGGAAATGGAATTTATGATTACATGACAGAGTCAAAAGAGGAGACCCTGGCGCAAGAGCACTCAAACATATAGTACAATCATCAACAGTATTTCCTGCTGTTGCAGATTGAGAAGCGGGTAGCATGTTTTATGTTTTTTATGACAGTAGTAGTGGTGAAAGAGAAAAACAAGTAAGCAAGCAAAAGTCCGTAAGATTGTATACAGAAAAGAAACACAACAAAGTAATTGCATCATACAACCTTGATGCGTGTTTTTATTGGTGTTTGTGATTCATCACAGATGTGACGGTAAAATGGTTTATTTTCTGGCATAAGTTGAATCTCGGCTTGAAATGCCTGTTTCGAAACATTTGTTTTTTTTTTCCACTATGAATGAGATAAAATAAATCTGACGCAATTGTGTTACTGTTCGTCTTAGTAAACAAAACATACGAAATAGCAAAGAAATTTTCGAATGAGTCATATAAGTCGACATATTCCTATTGGGTTTTACACCAAAAGCAGTGCGTAAATTTCCCGATGAGTCATTTTATTTGATATATTTTTATTAAATCTTGAATGAATTTTTTCAGATGTTCACCTGTGAGAGCTTTTTCTTAAAGTGAAATTTTGATAAACGAACACTGCAACAATTAGAGATTACAACAGAAATAGATATGATTGAGGTTGTATAGAAGCACAAACTTTATTTAATTTTTGTACGGCTTAGAATATTGAAATCACTCGTGCTTGGTTTCTCGAAAGCTCGGTTGTTGTGCAATGTCAACTGTTTTCTTAACAACTCAATCGATACATTCGATATTTTAAACAGTCGAATCCATGTGCGAGTGCTCTCTACGACACGTATAAAAAAATCAGTTTATTAATGGTGAGTTTTTTCTCGTTTATTTGATGACATTGTTTCTTTTCTTTTAGTTTCTGTCGTAAAAAAATAAACAGGTAAACTTTAGTAGTTAGCAGGATTGCAAAAAGTCATCCCTTCTTCAGAATGTTGGAAATTTTTGTTTGCCTCACTTAATGGATTTAGTTTTGAGATTTTGTACAGAATATTTCATTCAATCTCCATTTCAGAACCATTCTCGAGAGTGTGGATGTGGGTGTAAGCATCCGAGACCAAAATTAATAATAAAATCTTGATTAAGTTTGGTTTTGATCTCTGGTGTGTATAGCTAGACGAAAATGGAAATACCCATAGCCATGCTTTCACATTAAATTTCAAGTATTATAATTCACTTTACTTTGTTAACTAAAGTAAAGAAAGTGTCATACCTGCGTCATAGAGATCTAATATTTGCAAAAGGGAAAATTAATAGTGAATCATTTATATTGACATTGCTGTTGTTGATATTCATTTTGAGACCGAATAGTTAGGAATCACATATAATTCAAAATTATTTGGATAGCTCTTTGCACAGACTATATTGTTATGAAAGAAGTATTGATTTCGAACATTATTTTTATTTGTTCCAACTGAAATAGATGTTCTCCAATAGTTATAATTTATGCGCTTGCATATATGTCAGATTTATATGTTTGACCATTCATGAAAAAGATTTGTGTCAAAATTGACTGATATATATTTCGAAAGAGCTTTTATTTTCTTTCACAAAACTATGCATTTTCTACGATCTAAAAGTTAGATCAGTATTAATTCCATATCGTGATTATTTTTGAAACTCAGCAGTCAATCTCGGTTCTTTTCTGCTTGAATTTATTAATGCCTCATTCGATGAATATCTCTAAACTCTTAGAAAATGTTAGATTCTATTAAAAAGCACGTTTACTTGCATGTGTGAGAACACTCAAAGAGTCAATACCAGTTAAAGTGGCTGTTTTCACATAATATCTGAGTTTAGTCATTTATTAACGATGGCTCTACAAAAATAGTCATTAGCTAGAAGATTGAATTAATGAAAAGAATAGGAAAATCAGTAGAAAATTACTAAAAATGACTCTACTGCTTGAAAAAGTGTTTTTAAAAGAGCCAAGTCAACCATCGATTTTCATGGCAAAAGACACGGCACAGAAAACAGTATAAGTGAGTTTATTATTCTCTTTCAAGTTTGTTTCATTCACCATGAGATTGCCTTTTGTCTTTCATCAGACATTAGTCTTTTTTTTTCTTTTTCTACGCAGGTTATATGTTGTTTGTGAGTGCATGTGCACATGCAACGAAAAGTAACATAACACATCGAGCTACCGTTATGTTATAAATACGACTATTCTGAATAAAACAAAATATGAAATTCTCATCGTCACATGAACAATGAATTGTTATCAATAATAAAAAAATATACTCATTTTTTTTACAAAGAGTAGATGTGAGTGACAGGAGCACAAAACCCACATCCACTCCACACCCTTTAATGCGCCGTACACATTGATACGCACCACACACCAATGCTACATGCACACCCATCTGATTGAACATTGTTGTATTTTTCACTTAGATTTTTAATCTTTCTCTGAAAGCTTTATGATTTTAATAATATTTGAGTAAGTAAAACACTTTTTGTGTTCCATCAGCTAGTCATTTTTTTTCTCCGCCCGGAGAACAAAGGAACCAAATAGCATCTTAAGTAAATACCGTAAAGCTTCGAAAAAGCAACAGAACTCGTCCAACGTTATTTCGCAATGAAATAGCATTTGTTTTTGTTTTTTTATTTTTGATAAATATTGTCGTAGAGACAAAAGAAAATTACGTTTCTCTGCAAGTTTTGAGAAAATGACAAGTGAAAATGATGAGAATAAATTAAAACAATGCTTACAATCAATTATCGACGCTATTTCTGATACAATCAATAATTTAACAAAAAAAACAAGACATTCTAATCAAAAACAAATATTAAATAACCTTCAGTCAACCATACAAAGTCTATTAGATGACAATCTTGCTTCTTTTTCTTCTCAGTGTCGAAATTATATCTTCGATGCATTAAATCATTATAATTATAATACGGAAGCAAAAGCATTTGATAGTGCATTTACAGTAGAATTATTAGATCCTTTTCGAAATGATCTTCAAGGTAGACTATTTTTACTTGATGCTTGCCAAGCTGCATGGAATGGGGATCGATCAATCATAGAAACTTTTATTAGAAACTATCCAACATTAAAAGATAAATCTGGTCTTTATGGAACAACTCTTTTATATTCTGCTGCTAGAAATAATCATTTTCATATAGTTCAATATCTTATTCAAGTTGGTAAATGTTCAGTTAATGCACAAAATAAAGATTATCTTGAAAAAAGTCATCTATCAACATTAAAAGCAACAGTTGGTTCAACAGCATTACATGCAGCTTGTTTTTATGGACATTTACAAATTGTAGAATATTTAATTCAACATGGAGCTGATTATTTTATATTAAATGCTGCATTCGAAACTCCCATTGATAATGGACAACCAAAAGCAAATATTCGAAACTTTTTTACTAATTTTCTTGTTTTGAGTTATTCAAGAGATTCAAATGTTCTTCCGAAAAGAACCATTCTTGACGAAATCGAAAAAAATGAAGAATACATTAATGATTGTTTTTGGGAATATAAACCATTTTCACATGATCGATGGTTTCCATTTACCGTAGATGCATCATCTCGACTTCAAAAAGCCTTAACTATAGATTCCAATGAAAAACTCATTACTGAAATTCATTTAAAAGCATATCGAGAAGCTTTTAATGTGTCAATCGTTCAGTTTTTACGATGGGTTAAAAATTATGATCAACCAGATAATTTAGCTTGGGTTCGTTGTCGAGGTTCATCTCTTCTGAATTTTCATTGCTATTCACAATGGCAAATTATGTTTATGAAACATCCAGCAGGAATAACAAATTCTTCATCTCCAATACAAACATTCGATATGACAACCACTGAAATACAACTGAATTCATGGTATAAAGCAAATGATAAAATTAATTTTTTATTTGAAAGAGCAATGAATTATCATCGAAAATATATGACTATTAATTTGAATTTTATCAATAATGAAAAAATAACATTCGATTTTGAAAATTTTACATTTACTAATCAACAAAATACAGTTGAAGGTTTTTTAAGATGGATACCAAAATTAATATTGAATGATAAAAAATTAATACTTGTGAATAATTTTCAATTACCATCTGATTCTGATATAATATTACTCACTACATCATATTTGAAAAAAGCACCTCTCAATGAAGCTATTTCTACAAATGAAATGAATCAATATAATTTAAAATATGATAATGTTTTAGACGAGGACATTTTGGATTTTCCAAACAAGGTTAGGATTTAAATCATTTATTGACTAGGTTCTTTGTACTTCAATCATGATAGACAAATAGAGAATGAAACATTTACATCGAAAGAACTTGTCAATGCCAAATCTGTATAGCAGATACTACGTCTCTCGAATGTCTTCTAGATTATTATATAATAAACAAACAAATCTATGCGTCACTTTTAAGTTAGGATGTATTAACAAAACTCATATTTAACAAAAAAATTCAGTTTTTTCGAGAGATCAACGTGCTAGATAATTGATTCTTGTTAAATCAATTTTCTAAAAACTAAAAGTTATTGTATTCGTTACATATAGCCTAATTCTTTTTATGGTAGTGTAATGTGAATAATTATATTATTGACAAGAAAACTAATTCATATTCATAGAAATAACAAAGAAAATAGATGTGTTAGGTAAGAATAGCTGATGTATTACTTGAAAAGCTCGTGATCCTCACTTTCATCTACTCATTTTTTCATGTATATACAAAGTTATTCCCATTTTAAATATATGACAGTGCTAGTTATAAGAGGTGTAAGTCGATGTATTGGTCGGCGTCGACAGCTGGAATTTTTCGATGAAGTTTTCAAAAAAAATTTTAATTTCGAAAAATTTTAAAATGAAAGAGAGAGAAAGCAATTCCATAACAAATTCTTTGATTAATGTACCGATTTTGATATCAATTCTGTTGATATTATTGTTCCCTCTTCTATATAATCTTGTAGTGTATGTGAGATAAGTACGGCTGAAAATGTGAAATTGCTCAATAACTATTATTATTGAACAGGATAACAACTCAACATCCTTCAGTTCACATCAGTTGATAAAGGTTACAGCAGAAATATTGAGATGATGATAAATCAAATTTTTGACCAAATTTAATATTGCTCAAGTTTAACCCTCATCTTGTTATATTAAGAATAAATATAAAACCCAAAGATAGAATTAGGTAATAAAACTCTTCTATGAATTTTTGCCTTCATCCTTAACTTCAAGATAACAAAGTAATACAGTAACAAGATTACGAGCATCACAGAATTATGAACAATGATTTTGATATTTCTGTATGGTGATATGCAATAGTTCTGTCACTATTTGCAACAATCATTGAAAAAAATAGGAAAAAGAAGACTACTCTTTAAAATTATCGAGTTTCTCTTAAATTACTTTTATTTATTTGAACAATGATTTGCTTTTTATTTATAGCAACCGATAAAGGGAAAAACATTGAATAAATTTTTGAATGTTATTCAAGGTGATATATTAAGAGAACAAGTAAGTTTCATTCCGTAAAAAGAAAGCAAATATTGCTTGAACGTTATTTAGAGTGATGTTGTTGTAATATCTACGTCATCAAAATCTTTACTTGAGAGTATTTGGCAAGCAGGTGGAAAGCCTCTACAAAAGTCTTTCGTGGCGAAATCCAAGGCAAATCCAAAAGATATTGTTATTAGTGTCACTACAAATGGTCAACTTCCAGCAAAAGCGGTCTACTTTGTTTTGTGGGAGCCTAATTCTGATAGTACTATACTTAGTGAATCACTCGAAAAAATAGTTTCGACTGTAATGGAAAAAGCAGCAAGTGAAAACTATACAAGTATCGCATTTCCATCAATTGGTTGTGGTCGATTTGGGTGCTCAATTAATCTTGTAGCTCAAATACTTATTGGACAATTTCAACAACAATTAGCTAAATATCCAATAAAGGTTTCAATTGTTATTCACCCTGATAGAACAGATATATATAATGAATTCCAAAGGCAAATTAATTTTCTTCAAGGAAAAAGCAAAGCTTCAAGAGAAAACCTAATGTCAATAGCTGTAGGACAAGGAAAAATAGAAGTTAAAAAAGGAGATATTACAAAACAAAAGGTAATTATCTTAATCAATAGTCAAAAGTTTTATTATTTTTTTCTGTTTTCTGTTTTTTAATGATAGGTTGATGTTATTATTGGAAGTTCATCATCGGAAAATTTAAGACAAGGTTTACTAGAAGCTGGAGGACCAGAAGTTGAAAGTGCTTATGATAGAGAAAATCAAGCTAATCCAAATTCATTAATTATTTCAACTCCATCAGGAAAATTACCTTGTGAAAGAATCTTTTTTCTTAGATGGGAACCTAATAAAGATCCTGAAATTCTTCGACAATCAATAATTGATCTCATATGGAATGTTATTCAAAATGTTCATTCACATAATTATAAATCGATTGCATTTCCAGCTATTGGATGTGGAGAACATGCTTGTTCTGTTGATATTGTTGTTAAAACAATGGTTAGAGAAATGAAAAAACAAATTGAAAATAGAAAATTACCATGGTCGGTTACATTTATCATTCAACCTAATGAACACAATGTTTATGATGAATTTTGTAAGCAACTTTTAGCATCAAGTCATGAACCAATGGATTATAAATTACCTTTAACATGGCAAACATCAAAAGAAGATAACATGAGACTTATTGTACGAAAAAATACAGATGAATATAAATCAATTGTCACCGATTTTGATCAGAGCATGAAAAAAAAGTATCAAGAAATCATTAGAATTGAACGAATTCAAAATGAACGATGGTTTATGCAATATTTAGCACATGCCAGAGATTTTCAAAAAAGATTAAATGACAATACTGAAAAATATTTATATCACGGATGTCCAGAGAGTGCAGCAAGTTCTATTATTCAAGATTGTTTTAATAGAAGTTTTGCTGGTGTGAATGGTATCGTTGTCTTTTTTTCTTTTGTAATTTCTATCGAATATATGTATATTCATATTAGGCACAGCATATGGTGTTGGCGTTTATTTTTCATCCAATGCAGCTTATAGTCATGGTTTTACGAAACCAAATTCTAATGGAGAACGTTTTATGTTTCTTGCTCGTGTTCTTATCGGAAAAACAACCATAGGAAATGCATCGATGAAAACTCGACCGGTTGGATTCGATTCAACAACAGATGGAAATCATATTTATGTTACTTATCATGATGCACAAGCATATGCTGAATATTTGATTACATATAAATAGAAGCAAGATTTCAATTTCCAATTAATCCCGAGTATGACATAATACATTCTGAATGATTGATAAATTTTATTTTTTTAAAAAAAAAAAAGAATGAATCATTCTCTCCTTTGATTGATTGATTTTGGATGATTAATCTTCTCGAAACCAATGGGGATAATCGACAAAAAAAGAATTGAATTTTTTCGACTTTGAATTGCTCTGAATTTGACATAAAACATTTGCACTTTTGTCATACATTTCAAATGCGTCTTTAATATACAGGTGAGATGCGGGGAGGGGGAGAACGTACAAAAAGAGCGCAAACATTGTGTAATGACGACATATATATCTTTAAACCTGAGAATACTCAACAAATTCTCTTTTCTTTGAATTATATGAACAATAATCTTTCATGAAATGTTTGCAAGAAAATGTTCCAATCAACCACGTTGAACATCAAAGAGCTCTTCTTATTTATTTCTGACAAAACAACTAAATATCTTCTGATTGATTTATGGAAACTGTGAAAAAAAAATTGAATATGAAGGACAATGAATTTGGAGACAATCCGGCTTAGATAGAATGCGATGCGATAAAATTTCGTTGGGATTATTGATATAGTTATTGACATCTTGTTAAAACAATACTTTCAATTTCTACATAATGGAATCAACAGAATAAAAGGTCACATGTCTGATAGATTTGTTCGGTCTTAGATAGATGCAAAAAGATGATCTGATACCCTAGGACATCATGTGCTCTTAGCTTCTTAAAATCATGATCAATCACCTCGATTTGCTGCTGGCATCTATCAATATTATTTTACGATGAATCTTATGATTTCTAAGATGAAATAAATCGTTCGAAATACTAATCAATATGATTAAACATGAAGTATCAAAAAAAATAGTCGTTCAAGTGTAAATATTTATTAAGTAAAATCAGGTGAGGAATATATACGGATAGTATTGACATTTTCTTACAGCTCTTATAAATATGGCCAAGTCAGAAAATACTGTTGGAAATGAACAAAGAAAGAGTTATATCAATCGTTAGTAGATAACTATAAACAACTCGCTGATGAAACATTTCGAATTGAACCTGCAGGAAGATATATACTGCTCGGGTTGATAAAAACGGTAAACAACAAGATAATTGTTACGTTTTTTTCATTCTTGAAGTATTTGTGGTTAAGGTGATCGTTTGAAAGTAGATCTCATCTTAGCTGGTTGTCATAATCGGGTGATCCTATGCTTATTGGTTCACATAATAGAACAGACTCTAAAGCAGACAAAGGCGTTATGATAGTCTTGTTGAAAGTAGTAGCATAATGACCTGATTAAATGACTACAATGTAATGGCATGTCTTTATTTGAATTATATTGATAATGAAGTATTCAGAGTATTAACGGCCATGCTAGAACGTGTTGATAATGATTCTCAATGCTTAACTTTTACCTATGAAAAAGACGAAATGTGCTTTGTGGAGATGTGCAGTGTAGGTGAAAGTGTGGTTGTGCAGATTTGAAGGAAAAGTATGTGTGTGAACTGGATGTAGGTACGTGTCGGAGTATGACTGTTACCGTCATGCACACATACATCCATCAATTGGTCTTCACTGTCTCAATGTTCAAACAGCGACCAAAGACCAGCAGATGCGAGCGAAATTTGTGTTGAATCAATACGTTGACAAACAAAAGACCCATACTATTGAGCTTGAGTAATCGGAAGAGAAAGTGGTGACATCAGTAAAAAGCACAACTATTGTTTTTCATTCACACATTAGCTTTAAAATTATATTCAAGGACGTCATTGGCTAACCACAGCGCAGCATAGAGAGAGTGTAGGTATAAATTTGAGGTGTGGAACTCTCTTCACTTATACACCCTCCACAGCAATCAAGGCACATCTACACCCACATCTCAGAGCTTTATGTCTGTAATTCCTTAGAAATAGAAGTTAGCCAATGGAGATTCGGATAGTTTAGAAGATCTTTTATTCGTAGTATTAATGTAAAGGCGAAACTTCGATATTAACACAAGAACCTGATGACACGAAGCTCAGTTGCGCAGGAAACAAACATAAGAAGATGCGGTTACAGAAAAGAACTAAACTTCTCAAAAAACTTGATTTAACACAATGATAATCTGTTTTAGGATAAATTCTGTTTACATCTTTCAATATTTGTCTTGAGTTGTGTCACTAATTCGTTATTGTTGTTTTTTTCTGCCACAGTTAAAGCTTCTTGATAAGAAGTTATGGCTTGTTGATATTCGCCTTGTCCTGAATAAGCTTGTCCCAATTGGTTAAGCGTGCATGCAAGAGTACTGATGCCTTTTTTACGTTGAATGGTTGCACATGCCATTAAATGTTCAATGGCTTTTTGCCATTGTTCTTGATTCAAATAGATTGATCCTATTGACGCGTAGCTGTTTGCAAGAATTCCATGTGTGGGAGGTACTGATGTTTTATAAATTAGAAGAGCTTGCTTATTCATATCCAAAGCTTGAGAGCGATATTGAAGAGCTTTGTCGCGCATATTTTTCTTTTGAAAGTGTTCACTGAGTGCTTCATAGTATGATCCCAACGATGAATAGGACATGGCAGTGTAAGGATTATAGGCGGATAAACAACGTTGTCGGATAGCCAATGCTTCTTCAAGACAAGTCAAGGCTCGATCAAAATCACCAGTTTTAGCAGCAACAAGACCAATACAATTATATGACATGGCAGTATCAACATTGTTGTGACCTAAAATTCTCTCTCGAATGTTCAATGCTCGTTGATGAAAATCAAGTGCTTTCTGTGTATCACCCATATTCATGAGCAGCCATCCAAAATCACTGTAGGTCGTCGCCAAATCTTCTTCATGAGCTGGTCCTAGTTTTTGTCTTATTTCAAGGGCTTTTTGATAGTGTTTTAATGCTTCTTGATAACGATGAGAATCACGATATGCATAGGCAAAATCATTGTGAATTGTTGCTAGATCGATTTCACTGAGCTGCAATTGATTGGGCATTTGTGATAAAACTTGACGGTAATAAGCAATTGAACTTTCAAAATTAGACATAAGAGCGAGAAATTTTCCATATGCAGAATAGTTAATGTTCTTTGTGCAGGCTATTTCTCCTTTGGCATAGTCGTAAAATGCCTTATGCTAGAATGAAAAAAAATTGAGAATTCACCAAAATTAATGATTAAATATATTTCTAAATTGAGAATGGCATTTGTGAACTATAGATCAGAAAGCAATACATTTTCGAGTATGTTGATATAATTTCACAAATAAATTCAACGGTTTTCGAAAAAAATACGTGAAACATACTTTTAAATTATGATGAATCGAAATGATTAAGATTTCTTTCATTTAGTAACGCTCAAGAATACTATGTAAAATAGAAATCAGACTTATAAAAAAAGATTTCGTCCAAGATTTTGAACAAATTTATAAACAGATTCTTTTTAAAAACCATTTCGAAATGAAATTCCTGTATATTTATTATACTCTTCACTTATGAGCTAAAATCAAAAAATTTGGTATATAGCAAAAATGTTTTCAAGACATGATCTGAAGCTGTATTATTCGAAAAAGTATAGCAAATACTTATTTTATTAGTACAACACAGCTTGATCAAAATAAGAAATTGTCTGTCTAGGTTTGAAACAGATCTTTAACGAGTGGACAAAACTCGTTAGAAATATATTGAATCATATGAAATAAATGTAAGTTTGAGTTCGATCGATATTTACCTGAGGATCCGTATCGCCTATGCACATGGTCAGCTCGAAGTAAAATGAATCCGGTGAACTTTGTTCGATTTCATCAATTCGAAATATAGTACCCATGCTCAAGAGAATTTCTTCTTCTTGTGGAAAGGAACTATAATTTCGAATATCAACGAATGGCTTTTCCGTTTGTCGAGCTATATCAGCACTAATGGTCATCTTGAACAGAACTGCAGCAGTTTTTTCTTGCTCGCTTGTATTTGATCTTGCAAGAAATCTTTCTGTTACCTTCCGACTAACAGATGTTGAAATAAAGCTATTCATTGAAATCAGACCGTGATGATTACGACGCAAATTTTCAATTTCACGCATTGTCATACGTTGACCACGATACACTGTCATTACTTGATTCATAGGTTTCGACGATTGAAATAATTCAGTCAATTGCCGATGCAAATCAGCAATAAAAAACCGAAACTTGTATATATTATCAACGTTTTCCGTTCGTAATGATTTATTGAGAAGTTTATAGAGATGTGTATTGCGAGTGTACCAATAAAGTGCCTTTTTCGGATTGTAATCACGGCAAAAATTTTTTATAATATTTGTCTCATTGCGTCCAGTGCTACATGCTTGACGCCATTGTTCAAGCATTTCGTCACGTGCTGTTGGCAATTGTGGCATTTTAACAAGAATTTCAGTTAGAATTTGAAACCATACAAAAGCGACTTTCTCTTCGGTCAAATCACGTGTGGATCGATTCGTTTCAGTTCCAGCAAAGATGCTGATATCCGAGGTATTCTCTTGTTCAGTAGGTACAATTCGATTCGAAACGGCCATTGGTGAAAGTTCCTAGAATGAAATATTGAAATGAGAAACTCTCTCTTCAACTGAACAATGTCTCTTCAGCAATGAGTTTTTCATGGATCCGAAAGTGTACAAGAGCGAGTCTTTCAGAATTTAATATGATTTTTCATAAGATGCCTTTAACAAAGCGATGCTTTCATAAACCAATTTTGGGTGAAATCTACTTTTGTTTTATCATAAGATTTTTTTTCGATTTTTCGACATTCATTTCCATGTTTTTATCAGAATGTTTGTTTTCTAGCTGAGAAGACATCTGCGACGAAATTTTCATCTATTATATTGACTGTTACAATCGTTCCTCAACTTGGAAAATATCGCTTCATTCTGTTTAAAAGAAACTGATACCTTGTGCTCAATTGGGAAGAGATCTAGTTTTAAGACATGACATAAATGCTTCTCTATAAATAGTTAACAATCATCGAGTGATTCCATACCGAAGGTGTTGCGATCACTAATCAAGAGAGCTCCTGAAGCTTCATCTCAATTTTGAATAACTATTGAAAAATCAATAGAATTCGACTAGCTGATCTCATCAAATTATGATTGTCAATGATTGATTTCTTATTGTGTAGTGACGTTTCTTAAAAGTTAATAATACGCATAAGGTTATCGTTTCGATGATTCTGTATATCTTAAAAGAATGAACTATTCTACCTTCGCTTTTGTATCATTGAGATCGGCTGTTAATTGTGTAAGAAGTTCATCCTCTCGACTGAACACTCGATGACTACCAATTTTGTTACAGTGCTTAGCCCATTCGATATGTTTTTTTGCATCCATGCAATAGACATAAACAGCATATAGTTGTGGTAAACTGTCGAGAACAGGAGCTATACATTGTCCGAAGAAACCAGAAACGATTAGCAGTACAGTTTCGTTTCTTTGAGTATTGGATGTAATGTGAAGAATGCAAGTTTCCAAATCGAAGAAAACGCTCAAAGACGGCCAAATGACACGCAGGTGTTTCTGTGTTGTCGTACTTGCATTTGCATCGGCCCATACAACCATTTCGATGTGAGACATTCAATATCGGATCTTTATCTACAATCTAGAATAAATAAATATTCGAGAAAAAGCCTTTTTCTTCATTCAGATGTTTTCTTTCAATAAAGTAAACAAAGCCATAAACCATTGTCTCTGTTGAAACCAAACCGTCACACTTCCATACTAGCAATATACAATCTGTTAACTATTTCCATGGCATCTTTCTGGTTTTCAGTTCACTTAAGTTCTGTGTATTGCTCTACAAGTAATTCGTTTTGTATACCGCCATGTCTTTATCTATTATTCATTTATATACTCTATCCAGTCCAGTAACAGAACTACGCAGTCTCATATTTCTCAGTGCTTCTCTGTTTAGTCATATTAGCTTAGTTCACCTTCAAAAACTGTGATAAATGTGGTTAGTTTTCTTGCTGATGATTAAATTAGTTACATTATGTTTTACATTTCAATTTCTTAGGAACTATGCTGAAAACTTCATCCATCAGATACAAATCTGTAGGTAATTTAATGAAAGCTATAATTGCAATGAAAACCATCAAGATTTCAATTACGTCTCTATTTGTGGGATACTTTTTTTTCGGAATATTGTATCAATAGAAAATATAATAATAAGTAATTCAGATTGAATGCATTACTCTTGCTGACTGCTTCATCAAATAGTTGACTTGTGTTGATCCAAGCATTGTTATTACTTATCAAATGATCAAATTTTTGAAGCCTTAATCCTTACTCATAGGTGTTACTGAGTCCAAAGTCATTGCAATTCCGTTAAGTACATATTGAATAGTTCCAAACTGTGTCATAGACCAGTAATGAATCGAAATTTCATATCTTAGATTACTCTAGTTAAGTTAATTGGAATAATACGATAAGCAAATCAATAATTGCTTGATAGGTTTCGATTGTGACAACAAGCAGGTCTTTAAACAGTAGAAAATGATTTTTGAAAAGACGAAGGAAATTTCATATAAAAAAAATCGAATGTTTGCTTTTGCGTAGTTGAGCTTATCCAATAACAAATGAAAAATTTCTTCGATTATAAACACTGCAAAAAAATCTACAATTTAAATGCTTGCTTGTCAACATATGGTAACAAGTGTTCTGTTTCGTTTCTTTCTTTGGTAGGAATTCATGCAAGCAGATGAATTATGTCCATAAATAAAAAAAATCTGCGCACTTTTAACTAAAATACATTATGTGAGCAAACGAATTTTGACTATATTGTCGTAATAAAGAATTCTATCATTTCTTCCGAGAATTTCTTTTTGATTATTCTGTTTCTTGTTCGTCTTCTCTTTAACATAGTGAAAGAATGGATATTCACTTGCTAGCCATTTCGAGAAACCTACTTTGCCTCACTTTAAGCAAATAACTATGTGTGCCTGTTGTGATGATCAAATGTTTCTTTTTTCATTTTTTAGCTTATTAGGAAAAATGAGAACTATAATCGATACATTCTTGTTGATTGTTTCAATGCTTCACAAGAAAAGTGCAAATCCTACTCCTTGCATTTCAATTCATCAAATGATATTATTGCAAATCAAGGTTCCGATACATCCGTATCATTAGGAGTATGGCATGCAAGAAGTTAATTCGTCTTTTTACATATTGTTGGACACAAAACTATTGGATGAAAGATATTTTGGTCTTGTATGAGAATTTCTGATGGATTGTGTCCTATTGCTGTAACATGACACTAACTCTATCCAGTCGAATTCATGAGCTTCAGACTCAAGTTCGAACTCTGCTTTTCTTTCTCTCTGTTTATGCATCGATTTCTTATCTATCCTATGGGGTTTTTAATTTGACAAAATGAATAAATTCGATTTGTGAAAGATTACATTCGACACACTGAAATTTTACATATATAAATAATGTGTGAAGGATCGAATTGAATCATTGATCATCTTGCTTATATCTGTAGACGCTCACTTGATTGACTAAAAATTGTTGAACAATGTCTTACTGTACACGTTGCAATGTTGCTATCATAAGTTTAAGCTCTGTTGGTTCTTTTTCTCTCCGGCAACCATAACGATACTTTCATTAAAACCAAATTTTCTTCACAACTTGTTATTGTAACAATATTAAAGCAGAATGTCACTATACAAATGACTTTAAATGACCATATTTTCATCACATCATAAGAGTACTCTCTCTATCTATTTCTTGGTGTTATTATTATCCCAGTGTCATTGAAATAATCATTGCATATGTTTACATGTGTCTTCTCTTGAGTCACGACAAGAAATACTCGAAGAAAAGTTCAGTCTAATGTAGACCTTTAAGACAATAAAAAATTGTTTGTCTCTTAAACGGAATTGGTGTTATTTCAATTTTTGCTGATTGAAAATCATGTTCCAATCAAAACAGTAAATAAGTTTAAACATGAATTTGTTTTTTCATTGAAATCCAGAAAAGAAAAACATTAAAATAGAATTATTAAAAGTGCGTAAACGATAACATAATCAAGCACCATCTCTCGTGTTTAAATTATACAAGAATATTTATTCAAATGTTGATGCAAGCAAAAAAGCAGTCTTCATAAAAATAAAAAACTGTAAAAAAAAACAACTACGAGTTATCCTATTCTGTATCAATTTTATACAATTGTAGAAGTTGAAAGTGTCAATGAAAACAAAGATCATGTTGAGTTTGCATCGTAAAATATTCGACTCTCATGTTATTATTAATAAATAATCTTTCGAAAAAAGGTTATTACTATGATCATAAATAAGAATTTTTGAGAACTCAGATTGAATATTAATTTTAAAAATAAATTTTAAAACTTTCATTATCATCGCTGATCATTGAAAAATAGATTGATGAGTGCATGTGCGCGAAAATCGATTTCATTTGAAACATTTTCTTAACTGCATTAATTCTATTTACTTACTTCCATAGTAACATTAAGGTGTCATTAATTGTAAAATTCCACGTGTTCGAATCCTACACAGTCGGTCGTGCATCAGCCAAAATAAGAAAGAATTTTTTTTTCTGTTATGCTTCTTTCTTTCACTCATATAGGCGTACAGGTTCATTATGAAGTGACTCAAATTTTTCTTTCTTGTTTTGTGTATTTGGCTTACTATTATTTCAAAATTTTACCTTCTGTTACGTTTTTGTTTTTTTTTTAAAAAGAAAATGACGGAGAACAATCTCGAGCAACTTGTTCCTGTACTTCTTGATTCATCTTGGTCCAATGATCTGATAATTAAATTGACAGAGATTTTTGAAAAACAAACTTCTGAAACAATATCATCGTTTGTTTCCACATCATTAACGTCTTTGGTCACCATCGAACATTGGGCATGGCAAATGCTCAGTAAAGATTCACGACAATGGATTAATTTAGATAATTGTGTGAAATTTTTTCATCTACTTCATTCATTTAATATGAAATTGATTTCGAATAATAATGGAATTGAATTCGACACAAAAATATTACTTTTGATTCCATCAAATATCAAATGGATTGATGGCGTACTTGAACAAATTGAATCAAGCAATGATACATTTCTAACACTTGTGAATTTGTGGTTTGATACTTTGTCATATTTAGTTCATCAAACTTCTGATATTGTCTATTCACCAACGATGCTACATCTAATTAATCGATTGAGTCGTGATTTTATAATGACAGATCAATATAAATTCTATTTAAAACAACTTCGTGAACCAAATGTTACACAATCTGTATTTACTGTTAAACAACATTTTTATATGAAAACATGTTCATTTTCATTGAATGTTTATTTTTGGTCGAAATCAGAAAATTTTCCTTTAATTAGCGAAGAAATTACTAAATTTCTTAGTGAAGATTATATACAAATGATTCTTGTACATAGTTATACTATGAATTCGTGGAATAGTGAATTACTTTCTTGTATTGCACATATTATCGGTCTCATATGTTCATCATGTTGGTGGAGTGGAGAAAAACTTCAACATATCGAACTTATTGTTTCATCTAAAGATACAACATATGAACATATTTTTGCACTTATTCGACTTGTTAGTTATCAACCTTTTCATCAACGTATATCTGCTCAATTATACAATGATGAAACAGTTCTTATGGATGCATGTTTAATATTTTTATTTCGTACAGTAAAAACATATGATTTAGGTTGTTTCATAAGTTCACAAACAAATTTACCTGAAACACTTTGGTCCATAGGACAAACATCACCTTATGATCCAATTCGTATGTATGCATATGGATTTCTAGCTGAAATTCTTTCTGATAAACAATTGAAAGAATGGAAAATTAGCAATAATTTGTGTGAATTTTACTTTCATATTTTGGAACAAGCATGGAATCAGCCAACAAAAAAATGGAAAAAAATAACAATTCCATATTTATTAAAAGGTATATTTATCTTGATATGTTATGTTGATGGAAAATATTCTAACTATCTAGTAAATAGTGAGATTATGATAAGAAAACAGTAGTATCAAAGGAAAGTATACATCTACAATAGAAATCTGTTTTGATGATAATCAATGCAAAAATATTTCAAGTATGGAAATTTGTTATCAAGATCAATTAAAATTCTATCAGCTTTATTCCATACGTGACCGGAATTCAATCATAAGTTTACAGTACTAGAATTTGACAATTAAAGTTTACACACCGTGCATCATAAATGTTATTATTTCCGATACTGAAATTTAAATATTAGTAATTTCTTATAGAATATTGAAGTAAAACGTATTCAGTTTTAGATTAAACAATTTAGTATAAGGAGCAATGACTTCGTTACTCCTAAAGTGAGCAACATATTTTCAAAGTTAAGAAATGGCAGTTCTTCTAATGAAGGTGATGATGAGAACGAAAACTTTTGAATAACAGAAAACTTTAATAGGCTAGCTATAAGCGCCCTGAACTCTCTTCTTGAAATTTGGTGACACAACAAATTGCAAAGGTACAGAAACTCGATGTATATTTAGTACGCCAAGTGATACTAGAGCACTCGTCATAGTAGAACTACACTAGGAACATTATCAATTTGATCTCTTTCCAAAAATATTCAAAAAAAATGAGTACAAACAATTGATTTTAATGCAACAGGAATATAGAAGATACTGGTTTGAGTTTATGAATGCCTTGCTTTGTCCTCACACTTACACTATCATCCTCTATAATAACAATACATTTCTTAACTCAACTAGATAACTTGAATTCTATTCCTTCTTTTGTACAACTTCAATTCATTTTTATTTTGTATATGTTGATAACATATCTTGGCTAAGTCCCTAACCAATCGTCCCTGTCGTATAATATTTTTCATACGATGTTTCGATAAAATTTGGATTTCTTGAAAATAAAAATCAACTACAATCTTGGATCGATATGACTCGATCAACTTTATCTTTTGTTATATCAAATTCTACTATATCGGTTTTTTTTCTAAATTGAAAAAAAAAAGTGATACAATAAACACTGATATTAGTTTGTTCTGTATATGATAGAATGGATTGTAAGTTGAAATCAATCATAACAACTAGTGTTTTCTTTTGTTTTTGAACATTCTCTAAATTCATTGTCTCTACTTGATACATATATATGTATATGCAATAGGTTTCTTAAGTTTATCATCGAACGATACTATTCAAACTGCAACAGCCAATTTCAATAAAATATCATTATTTATTGAATTATGTGATCATTATCCTATAGCATTCGATATTATTTGGGCTCTTTCATTCAATTCAGTTATTGTTAAACAACTTCAATGCAATCAATCATTTACAGCTAAATTAGTTCATATCAATCATCAAACAAATGATGAAAATATACGTAAAATTGTGAATGGTATTCTTTGGAATTTACATTCAGATCGTGAAGAAAACATAATATTAAATAATAGTGAGGAAAAAAAATTCGATATTATGATTAGTTATTCACATAAAGACAAAGAAATTTGTAAACAATTATATGAAGAACTTGTTCGAGTTGGTTATCGAGTATGGATTGATTTTGATCAAATGTATGGTAATGTCATGGATGCAATGGTAGAAGCTATTGAACAATCTCGAACTATAATGATTTGTATGAGTGAACAATATCAACGAAGTAATTATTGTCGAGCCGAAGCACAATATGCATTTCAAAAACAATTAAATATGATACCAATTCTCTTACAAAAACATTACAAACCAGATGGATGGCTTGCGTTTTTAATTGGTTCAATACTTTATATTGATTTTACTAAATATGAATATTCTAAAGCAATTGATATGTTGATGAAGGAACTCAAAATGATTGATACACGTAGTAAAACTTCAACTAAATCTATTCAATCAAAATTAAATTATGAGAATTTATTGACTGTTTCCTCTATTTTAACACAACCATTATCACCATCAATAATACTTCCTGAAAATATTCAAGATTGGACAGAAATACATGTACAGAAATGGCTTTCCGAAAATAATCTTCCACAGATGACTCGTATTTTATCCGGTATGGATGGTTTAAGTTTAATGTATTTCAGTGAATATATGATCAAAAGTGAACCACAACAAGTTTTATCATTACTTCAACAAGATTCACTTCGTCGTATAAATGAGAGTGTATCATTAATTGAAGTATCTCGTTTTCGAACATTGATCGAAAGAAAAAATTTATCGATAGTCACATCAACCAAACAAGTAAATAAGAAAACTACAGAGATGAATTATTCAAAATATTGTAACTTATTTTAGTCATTTAAAATTGAACATTATTAATTCATAATTGTACAAAACGCTATTTTTTTAAATAAAGTAGTATTTCATCACGTGAATCAAAAAAAAAATGAAGATTTGACTAAGTCATTTTTTATTCTAGTTATGATGTTTTTCTCAAAGACAAAAGTTTATATGGGTAAATTCTTGTCATTAGTATATATTGTGGTAGCACAATTCCAGTGAAATTAAAATTTGAAACACAATGTAACTCCTCTTGTTAATCATAGAAAGGTTGATTTATTCTATATATTTTCGGACACATTTCTTCACTATCTTTTTACATAATCTGCATGAAATACAATAAGGAAGTATTTCATATATTAGAATAAAACGTTATTTAGATATATGATTTTTATTAGTATATGAATAACGTTTGTAGAGGAGAAGAAAGTGGATATGAATATCTACTATATACACTTTAACATACTTTTCGGATCATGTTTCATAAAATTTTGCAATCAAACAATTAATTGTTTTGTTATTGGATACTTCTGCAACAATCGAAGTTCTTACTAGCTGCTTTGCAGAACATGTAACTCTAAAACAATTTACTGAGTATTCAATGATAAAAAAAAATCTATTTCAGGCAATATATCATAGAGAAATATATCCTTTAATTATCAATCAATGTTTTTCTTTCTTTCAAATTCAGACTTATACAAACTCGAAATAAGATAATAAAAATTTGAAAATATTTCTTTGTTTTTCTTAGGTATTGTAAGAAATTGTTAAATAATTCATCATATAAAATAATTGTCCGTATATCAATGTTTGTTTATTATTGATTTTGAAAAAGAAAAATTTATTGCACGTCATCAATATAGATAGAAAAAGTTAGACAAACATGCATTATCTGTACAATAATAGAGAATGTAAGAAAATTAGAGAAATATTTATCTGAAGAGAGCTCATTCAGTCACTATCATCCCATCGTGAAGATTCATCATCATTTTCAGATTCTGATTGTGGTCGAATCTTATCACGACGATATTTTGCTGCTTGTTCCATAATTGCCATAACATTGAGAGCACTTGTTTTTGTTGTTACAGCAGCTTTCTTTTCTTCTTCACGCTTACGATTATTCAATTGAATACCTATATATGAAAGAAAAATTCAATAGCAAAAAGAAACAAACAACAGACAAAAAGATTGATGTACCTTTTTTTATTTCTTCTAATAAATCAGAATGAAGATCACGCATAAGAAGTGGTCGTTGATCTTGAATTGAAGTTTCTGATGTAACAGAAACATCATCACGTTGGGATAATGGTATCATATTACTATCTGAATTAGGTTTTGTTGTTGTTGGTGTAGTGGCCGGTGAAGGTCGCATGACAAGTGATTGAATAGTAGAATTAGGTAAAGGTGGTGCTGGTGGGATATTTGTTGGCATTGAAGGGGGAGGTGGTGGTGGAGGAGGAGGCGGTGGCGAAGGTATTGATTGTTCAATAAAATCAGCCGGTGGTGGAGGTAAATTATCAATTTCAGAAATTGTCGCAAGTGTTGGCATACCCATATTTATTGATAAAGGTGGTGCTGGTGGTGGAATCGGTGGAGGTGGAGGTGGTGGTGGAGGAGTAGCTGATGGTCTAGCAATAATTTGTTTCATAGTAGGATATTGTGTTGAATTATGATTGGGTTCAAATTGTGATAATAATGGTGGAGGTGGAGGTGGAGGCGGAGGTGGTGGTGGAGCTTGTCGAGTAATCATTGGTGAATGAATATTTAATCTTGGTGATGGTTCAATATTATTAAATCCATTTAATGGTGATTTTGGTGTAATTGTACTATTAAAATTCATTGTCATTGATTGTTGTTCACGAGATGATGAAGATGTTGAAAATGTTGGACTACCATATTGTACTAAATCTGAATGTTGATAATGATTATTGTTATTATTATTATTTGGATATTGTAAAAGAAGACGATTATTTGTTGGTGAATAGACTTGTTGTTGTTGTGATCGAACATTAGCACGAACAATAGATTCATAATCTCCACGATGATGATGATGATGAATAAGATCTTGAGGACTACGATATTGTTGTTCTTCTGTTGATTGTCGAATAAGACGAGCTTGTGATGATGATGTTGGATTTGAAGCATAAATTGATTCTTGATGATGTAGTTTAGAATCTTTCTAAATATAGAAATATTATCAATTATTGAAAATTCTTTTTTATTTCTATTTTTTCTAATACCGGTGATCGAAATCGTTCGTGTTTGCCTGATCGATGTGCATGATGATTTTGTGGAAATTGAATCATGGATTGCATCCATAAATTAAAAAAGAATGATGGATCAGTATAAAATTTCATTGAATCTCGACCATCATCTCTACAAATAGAACAAAAAAAAACAAAAACAAGAATTTTATTCAAACTTTTTTTTTTTGTTTTTAATTTTAAGAAAAAAACTAACCGATATGGATTAAGTAGATGAAGAGCTGGTGCTGGTTGAGCTTGTTCATAAAGTAAACGAAGTGATTGTGGCATTGTAGCACGATTAACTACTTGTTGATCAATACGTGTTACACTAACAAATGGTTTTCGATTATTTACATCTTGAATAGTTACTAAAATAAATGAAAGAAAAAAATTTTTTTTTTTCAAATTTTTGTTCATAATAAATCAATAACCTTCTTCAATATTTGAATCTAATTGTGTTACTTTATGTTTAAGTCTTTCAATTCGTCCATGTAATGCTTCTGTACGTTGAAATATATGTCCAGCATCTGCTATTAATTCATCAAATAAATCTTGTGCATGAGCACTTAATGAACTTAATTGTCGAATTATATTTGCTAATGTATGATTAGCAACACATTCAAGTTCATTTGGAATATCATTTGGTACTTTAACTTGACTTAAATTAATTGGTTCAATTGTTCGTTTATTAAATGGCATTGCATTGATTTATTATCATAGAAAAAAAAAAAACAAGAAAAAATTTTTATTTGACCCGATTGATTGATATAGAAAATGTTTCATTCATTATTGATGTTTATTCGGTCTCTCTCCAGAACAATGCTTGATGATAATTTGTTAGTTGATAGCGAATAGAAATATATTATAGGTGACAGTATATTCGCAATGTTTCTTATATAAAGTATATCAAATAATAGCAAACATATTTGTAAAGTAGAAAAGATGCTTTACTTATTTGTTGTAGTATTATTGAAAAGTTCGTCAACTTACTTTTGTTTGAAATATTTTAATTCTAGATGAGATTACGAAATATATATTTTTAATCTTATCTCTTATCAATACTTTCTTCATTATTTCTTTTTTTAAATATATTGAAAACTTTTTTTTTGTCTTATGTTTGTTTTTTTTTTTAGAAAGAAAATTTTTTTTCAAGATGATAAAACATCTTCGTTTCTATCAAATACCATGGTCTCATTACTGTGATAAAGTTCGTTGGGCATTAGATTTGAAAGAACTTCCCTACGATATAATCAATTTTAATCCATATGGAAAAACGAAAGGTTTAGAACGAGCACCTAAGACAATACGTAAACTAATGCCAATTCTTGAAGATCCCAATAATGATGGTAATCCATTTCAATGTGATTCAACACCAATTTTACTTTATTTGCATACACGATATCCTAATTCATCAATATCACTCTTTCCATCTTCATCATCTGATGAAAAACAACAAATAATTGATACATGTTTACGTTTTGATTCTGAATTAGGTCTTTATACACGTCGTATTGCATATGTTCAAATACTCAATGAAAAATCAAGTGCATTATCAATTTTACTCGGTGAAAAATTTTCATGGGCATATAATCCAGATGATATTCGTTCACGTTTGGTTAGTTCATTTGTTGCTTGTTTTATGATTGCTCGATTTCGACTTCATCGTATACGTGAAGAACAACTAAGAGAAAAAACAGAACAGATTCTTTTAGATGTTGCAGAACGTTTACATACACATGATTATCTTGTTGGTGAACAATTTTCAGCAGCTGATCTAACATTTTGTTCACTTGTTAAACCACTACGACGAGTACCCTGTTTCTTTGATGATAATCGTTTTCGAATTATTTTCGATTATCATGAACGAATTCGACGAAAATACGATCCAAAATATCCAAATATTGATAATTTTGTTGAAAAAATAGTAGATAAACATCGTTTACAAATACAAAATAGTGAAAAAAGTTTAATTACTCATATAAAGACATTTATTTATCGAATCAATTTTGTACAACGATTTTTTATTGCATTCATGACTATGATGGTGAAAAATATTTACGGACCAGTAACTGACAATGAAGAAGTACCTCAATTCAATAGAGTATCATCACAAGGTAATCAAGAAAAAGAAGCATTTAATGATCAACGACGGATAAATTTCAAATCAAAATGGTTAATGAGTAAATTCTTCTTTAGATATCATTGTCATCTATTTTTTACTATTCCAAATCAAGCAGCCTATTTAAATACAAAAAAATAGTCATCATTATTATACGACATATTTCAAAGTTCTTTTCTTCTTGTATCTTTATATTTTCTTTCTTTTTGTTTTTGTAATTGAACTGTTATTGACGATCGCTAGTAGTAAAACAATAGTGATATTATAAATTTAATTTCTGTTCATATAGGAAAAAATAAATATTCGATGAATTTTTGACATTTGATTTACATCACATTCTTTTGACATATAAAACATCAATACTTAAAACATTTTTCATAGTTCTCAATACAAACTATTGTTGCAGTCTTTTAAAAGGGTCGATACATTTGTTCCAATGTAAGATTCAAAGATTTTCAATAAAAAAAAAGACGGAGATATCCCATTGAATAAAAAACTTCTAATTTAGTGCGTAGTTGCACCAAAGAACATTTGTTTACATTTGATCAGTTCAGTTACATCACGTTCGATATCTTATCTAAGTCACCCTTGTAGTCATATAGATATGTTTATAGATGTTGATGAATGCGTCAGCTTTATGATAAACCTTTGTCATTATAACGAATGTGCCTTACTTGCATTGTTACGAGCTCGCAAGGTGAACATAATGTATTTTTAATTGACTATACATATCTACACAATCAACATGAATAGAAACTCTAACGACGTCTATAATGTGAATATTTGAATACTATTAATATTGTGGATGTATAACATTGAAGTCGTTATTCAAAATTGTTTAAGACTTTCTTGGAATATTATTTTAAAGACGTGATAAGTAAAGCTTTGTCAGATATGTTGTCGTCAATAGTCAACATTCTATTTAATTTTTTTTACGAATGTTTATTTGAAAAAGTCGAATAACTAAAAGACATAATCGAAACATGATCAACACATATATTTTATATATGTTCCTAAATAGATAAACATGGAATTTGATATATTTTGAACAAAATATCTAGTTCAATTTCGTACATCCATAATATTAATGGTATTAAAATATTTAAGGTGTAGATGTAGGTAGAACTTCGATTTATGCTGATTACGTAGTTGTGTACAGTTGATTAAGTTGCATCTAATGTTGAAGTTTTCAATATTTCGAACTGAACTAACATAAAAAATTAAAATTTCCAAAAGAACAGTTTACAGTCATTTTATATAACTCTACCAAAAGAATCCATAGGAAGAATGCTTTATGTCATTGCTATAAAAACTAGAAGAGTATTACGGCCAATATGTTATCTCCGAAGAAATCAAATTCATGTTTTATAATTGACAAAAAAAGCACATTTATGAAAAATATACGGATCGAATGAAATATCGACAAATAGGTGAGATTGCGGATAAGGTGAACAGAGAAATTCATTCCATTCTCATCAAACATGTAGCTTGATTGCGAGAGCAGTTAGTATTTTCTTCATCTAATTGAATCAACAAGTGCCTGTTCAAATACAAATCATCGATTTATTTGCATGATTTTTTTTGCTGAGTGACCTTTTGTGTGTCATCCCAATCAGGTATATAAAGTAAAATACAAACTCATTCATTTTAAATAAATTCCATGATAATTTATATTGAAACTATGCACTTTCATCTCAGTTCATAAATAACACTCATAACAAGTGAGAAAGATATTCAATTATATGCACATTATTATCAATATTAATTTAAATGTTGAATGATTCTTTGTCACAAAATGTATAGAGATTGTTAGTTTGAATATTACTTAGAGCTCGACTTATTCATATTGAAGTAGTAGTTCAACAAAAGATTAAAGAAGAAAAAAAATGCGGCTACTTTTCTTTCTTTTTCTCTATCAATTTAATTTAATTTTGAAGTGACATCGGCATTGTTCTACGAACATTATTGAACATGAAGTACTTGAAATAATTGATATCAATTTCGAGTCGATACAATTATTAAAAATCAGAATGTATATATCATATGCAATTACTTTCAATAATTATCGGTTCAGTTTGTCGATTTTGTTTCATTATATCATTGATAGACAATGCAAGATCTATAAATATTTTTAATCTAATCAGAACAGATAGTTCACATACTGATCGACACATGAACAATAATATGTGTTATCAATAGTAACATCATAGCGTTGAAAGAATTGAGTAATATTTAAGTAAAACTCTCGTGTAAATCTATCAATCATGTTATTAATCATTTTGAAAAAGAAAAATTTATTACACATCATCAATACATAAACAAAAGAAAACAAAACGAGAGACAATCATAGAAACATACACTATCTATACAATATAAGAAAATTAAAGTTGTAGACAGTTCTTATCTCGACGATCTTTTGTTGTTTGTTTTATAATTACTATAACATTAAGAGTACTTGTTTTTTTTGTTTTTCTTCTCGTTGATAATTATTCGATTGAATATCTAAAGCAAGATAGGAAAATTGAATAGAAAAAAAAAACAACCCGCAGAAAACGGTTATCTTACTCTTTTTAATTTCTTTCAATAAATCAAAAGATCGTATAGTATTACTATCTGAATTAGGTTTTTTTTTTTGATTTGGTTGTTATTGAAGATCACATAACAAGTGATCGAATAGAAATGTTAAACTATTTTATTATACAAAATCTGAATATTAATAATAATTCTTATAACAAAAACATAATGATTAGTTAGTAACTAGATTTGTGCTAATCAAGTATTAGTACGAACAACAGATTCAAGTTGTCATGATGATGAAAATCGTTCGTGTTTGTTCAATCGATATGTATAATTGAAATTGAATTATTGATTAAAATCGAAAATTTTCCAAAATAAAAATGTATTTTATATAATGACATATATCGATAAAAAATAAATTATAATTATGAAAGTTTACTACAAAAAAGATATTTTGTTGAGTATAAATAAAAGTTTTATTTTATATAGTAAATCAATCTTGAAAAAGATACATTTAAATCATGTAAAATTTTCAGTCAATACGATGATGTTTTTTTCGAAAGATATTCAAGAAAATAAAATCAAAAATAATTGTATTTTTATTCGAAAGAAATTTTAGTTTTTAAGCAAAAATGCGTTCTAATTATCAAAATATTCTTTAATATAATAGTAACGAAAACAAAAATAAAACTTCGTCATATTCTCTGCATCGTGATATACTCTTTTAAACAAGAGGAAAAAAAAAAGACATTGGTTACAATGTACCTCTTTCGAGAATTCTTGATTATGCAAACAAAAAACAAACATCAATAGAGAAAAAGATTTTCCACGTTATCTGAGAAAGCTATATTTTTCCAAGACGGAAATTTTTTAGGAAAGAAAAAAAACCGAACTATCCAATAAAAAATATCATCATCTAATTGATACTTCAGACTATCTCAATTTTCTTTTCAATGAATATTAATTTTTTTTTTTTTTTACTTCGATACATTCTATATAGAGAATGTTTCATTGTCCATGTTTATTTGTCTCTACCGAATAAATACTCGATTATGATTTGTTCGTTGAAAACGAATAGATATACAGAGAAAGAAAAGAGAAAAGGGTCACAGGTGACGTATTACTACTGAAATAAATCGAGCATATGTTCGATTGATTGACTTGTGAAGACAAACAAAAAAAAAAAAAAAAAGAATTTCTTATTTCTTTTTTTTGATTTAGATGTTGTTGTCTTGCCAATTCATATCATGCAACGTTTAGCTGATTATTTTCTTGTGGTCGGTTATGATCATGATGAAGAACGAGGTGGTCGTTCATGTGGTAAAATTATACAACGTTTTCCAGATAAAGATTGGCCTGATTGTCCATTTAATCCACGTATTATACATTTTTGTCAACCACAAGGATGGATATTAACAGCAAAACGTGAATTACCAACATTTTTTATATCAATATTAACTGATTTAGATGGTTTAAGACATTATTGTGCTTGTTTAACATTTCATCAAACACTTTTACCAACAACAACAAATATATTATTAAATAAAACTAATGATTATAGTGATGAAGCTGATGATACAGCTTTTTTATTACCTCGTACACAAATGTATGCACCGAAATGTTTAGTACTTACATCAAAATTAGATTGTTTCGAAGCATTTAGAGTAAGTATACCAAGGATGACTTACAAATGATCTTATTTGAAAGAAGACCAAAAAAAAATAATATACACATCAATGTTTTCATTTTTTGTTATACTAATCGAGAGGATTTTTAATTGTTCATTCAATGATAAGACTTCGAAGTACGATGTTTGTTTTTTTCCTGGAGTAAAAAAAAAAACAAAAATCTGATTCTCTTTTATTTTTTTGTTAACGTGACATTGTATACTCATGCAATGAGATTATATAGATTAAATTTTGTTATGAATAGAAGATGATAATAGATAGTAAAATATTTTTACTGTTGAAATATGTTTTTCATTTTTTTTCGTTACTATGATAGAAGACAATCGTAGATTTTAGTTGCATTATTGATTAATTCATTTTGATATGTTCCGGATTGTATATTATTATCTTATATTAATTATTGACTAATTTATCAAATCTATTGAAAATCTTCTTACTAAATAATAGTTTTGTACTTATTTTTAACAGATATATATATATATTTCGTATTAAAAAACAATAGATCGTTCATGCAATCATGTTATTTTGATATCTATGACTTTTATTGCGTTTTTACTAGGATAATAATCTTAATCCCCCCACCGCCTTTCTGTACACACAATTTTTATTTCTGAAGATGTATTGAAATAATTGTATCAAGCCGTAGAAGTTTAATTTCAAGAATATCTATCTTGAAAAAAAAAAGGTCTACCGTTTGTCATGTAGCAAATTTGTTAATAAATTTTACGCATATTTCTTTGAAATAACTCTTGATATTCATAATTGTTGCGAAATAAATAACAATCTGTAAAAATTCAAAAATAAACAAAAGACACCTGTGTAAAACAAATACAAAATTCAGCACCCTTTAGCAAATTAATAGCATTGAACAAAAAAAACGCATATAGAGGTTTACTGTTGTTTCCGAGAAACATCAGAAAGCGGAGAACTCTGGACAAAAGACAGTTCTTACACTATCTATACATACTAATTAACTGCAAGAGTAGTTGTTTGTTACGATGTAGTCAGTATGCTATTAGACGGATGGTCTGAGACATGTCTAGGATCATTTCATGACTAATGGTACTAAGGTCTGCAAATAGTACTTTGTGAATAAATGTTGAACTACATAGTCAAACAGCTATAATAGAACTATACAGTTTGAGTAAAGAATTCGCTGAAAAGCTCACATTGATTATATTGAATTGAGTATTTTCACCGATGTTGTACATCTCTAATGGTTAATATCCTATGATGATATAAATAATATAAATTTTCTTTAGAATTGTCTTGGTATTGTTTATACAATGTATGTCGAACCTTCGTCAGATATTCGGATTGAAACACTCGTTGGTAATATTCTTGCAAATGTTAATGTACCACCACCTGGTATGTTTATAGAAATTAATAAGAAAAAGAAAAGATTTTGTTCTTTTTTTTTTTTGTTAAAATGAATAGGTGGACATGCACTTCGTTTTTCAATTGGTGCTGATGATCGACAAGTGATACAACCACCAGCTAGTCCAACAGTACCTTGTACTGGTCTATCTGTATATAATCTTTTTAAAGAATTAGGTAAAATGATTATTTTTTTTTTTTTTTGGTATGATTATAAAAAAAAAATTATGTTTATTATAGGAATCGATCATGTTGTTACAATATTTTGTGCTGCATTGTCAGATATAAAAATTTTATTCTTTTCAAGAAGCTATTGGAAATTAACTGAAGCTTGTAAAGCAGTGGAATCTCTTTTATATCCACTTAAATATTGGTATTATAATATTTTGAAAGAATAAATGTTATTTATTTATTGTTTTGTTTTTCATGTCTTTAGTTATACATTTATTCCTGTGCTTCCATTTGATCTAATTGAAATACTTGATGCACCAACTCCATTTATAATTGGTGTTCATTCAGATCAAAAATTACAAGCATTAGCTAATGTAAATTTTTTAAAATTATATGTTTTTTAATTTAATTTGAATTTTGTATTTTAGTTCGATGGTTTATGGATTGATTTAGATGGTGCAAGTGTTCATTTAACAGAAAATCTTAAACTTGCTCCAATGCCTGAAAAACCATATTATCGTATATTATCTTCATTATTTCAAGTACAAAAAAAAACGAAAATTTTTAATTTGAAAATAAGATTAAAATTAAATTTTTCTTTTTAAATTTTAGATTCTTAAACCTGATATACATGCAGCTGATTTAGCATTTCCATTAAATGGACGAATGAATTTAAAATTAGATAGTGGAAATTCAATGGTATCTGATTATCCAAAATATAAAGAAGAATCAAATAAAGATAAACAAATTCGTGCTATTTTTATTCGTTTTTTTTCTGAATTATTTGCTGGTTATCGTTCATGTTTATTAATTATTCGTATTAATCCTAAACCAGTTATTTCATTTCATAAAGTAAATTTGTTTTTTTTTTTTGTTAAGTTTTATAAATATTTATTTTTCAAAAAAGGCAAGTTTTCTTGGTCATCATCGATTAGTTAAAGATGAATTTATGTTACGTGTACTTGATTCAATGTCATTTCATAAATTTATTGAAGAACGTGGTCCACCATTTCGATCATGTGATATATTTGATGAAGTTTATGCAATGATTTATGATCAATTAAAACGTGAAAAAGATTCAATAACAAATAATAATTCAACAACTATTATAGAACATATTAAAGAATTAGCAAATCAACTTTTATTAAATGTATGAAAAAAAAAAAAAAAAACTATATTCTTTTTGTTTTTATACAATATATTTATTATAGGAAAATCCATCACCACAACAAACATATACACAAAAAGTACCACAACCATCACAAACTAGTTGTATGCGTGATAATTTATCAGAATTTCCACATTTGGATAAAGAATTAGTTAATGCAGCAATTAAAGAAGGAATTAAAAAACAACAAAATAGCAGGTAATGATTGATATATAATTGAAAAATTTGACAAAAATTGAATATCATATTTCTTTTATTCTGGTCATGGTTTTTGTAAGATATGATCTAAAACTGAATGTTGAAGTATATAGAGTAGAGATTTGCCTCTTCTTTCTCTCTCATCGATCATGACAGACATGTTAATTCAATTAGATATAGATACGAAACTATTAAATCTATTTTAAGAAATTTTCACTATTGAATTGTTTAAATTGAAGAAACCATTGATTTTTTTAATAAAGTCTATCGTATAGATTGCGAAACCAAAAAAAAAACAAAAGATTTTATAAAAATAAATTAGACACAAACTATTAGTAGAACAGATGAAACATGATTATCTATTATTTTATATAAACAATTTCATAGAAATATATTTTTATTTTTATTTTTCTTTCTTTCTCTAGACCTTATTCAGCTCGAGTTAGTCAACCATGTATGGTAAAATTAGGTACACCAATACATGTACTTAATGGACGAAGTGATATATCACAATCAGCACGTCGTTTAGAAGTATTAAAACAATGTGTTGGATATATATTTAGTGATAAAATTGCTGAAGCAAAAAAAGTTTGTTAAATTTTTTTTTGTGTGTTAATTTTTTAAATAAAAATATTTTTTTTTTATTTTAAATAGACAAGTGGTGCTGTATTTTATTCAATTAAAAGTCATGAAGATGCTCGAATTGCATTATGTAATGAATTAGCTTCATATAAAAAACAAAATAAACCAAGATTAAATAATCAACAATTTGAAATGATTGCAAATTTACTTAATTGTGCACTTGAAGTATATTATTTATTATTTATATTAAAAATTTATTTATTTATTTTTCGTTTATTCTATTTAGGCAAGTTCATCTATTGATGAACATGGTATTGCTTATATGATGCTTACGTTAGCAACAACATTTCATCGAGTATGTATTAAGATAAATATAGTATTATAGGATGTGAATGTAGATAGATGAAAGTGAAGAGAACATTCATATCCACAGAATCATATAAAGTTTAATTTGCACTCTATTGTAAAAATGAAAATTTTTATTGTTCATTTAATCCTTTGGCTTTCGGCAATGCATATATGCATTCGAATCTATTTATCGAATAAAGGCATTAGTAGTATATTTTTTAAACGTCTAGAAAAGCTTTTTTATCGTTTGTTAGATGGTGTCATATGAGTATATTTCTTCTTTGTTTTCTTTCGATGTGATATCATTAGAGAAGTTTTGCCTTTGCTCATTTTACAAACATTGTAACTAAAATAATTTTGATGAAAAATCGTAATTTGTTCATTCTGTAGTATGCGACGGGATACACGATATACGTGTCCGAACTGCAATATATCTCTATGTATTGTTGATTGCTTCAAAGACTATCATATGAAGATGAATTATTAATGTTTTGTTTGTTTTTTAACACAGAAATGTAAGTTCCTTGTGAAAAAAATAATAACTTTTAAAAACTTTGATTTTCGCAAAAAAATGCCGGGAGCCAATGGGTTAAAATAGGGATACATGACTTTCATTAAAATCTTTCATATTATTATAGCAAATAAATCATGATAAGATTTAATGGATAAAGAAATTTTCTTTGAACTATTTATGAAATACGATAATATTGAAATTACTAATTTTAGTTATATCATTGTGTCATAGAGTAGACTTTGAATGATAAAATGAAAGATTAGTTCTACATGAATCTTTTTTCTTTTCATATTATAGAAATTAAGTGAAGAAGCAACACAATTTATTTATACTGAAATACAACGTCATGCTGTTTGGACAAATATGCAATTTTGGGAAATGTCATTTTATTCTGATGTTCAACTTCAAATACGAAATTTATATTTATCACATGAAGATTCAAATCAAATAAATGTTGAAGTTTCAACAGTAACTGATTCATTATCAACATCATCAACAGATACAGTTACACATCAAGTATCAGTAAGAAATTTTAATTAATATATTTTTCTATTTTATAATTTCTTTTTTTTTTAAATAGACAACAACAACAACAATAAATGAATCATTATCTAATGAAAATTCATTTCATCATAATGGACCAATAATACATGAAAAAACAGCTATAGAAATAGCTGCTGAACAAATGCGTCTTAATGCTCAAAAACCATCTGAAGAACAACATTCAATTGAAGATCTTGAAGAACAAACACTATATGCATTAGCAATACATTATATACAATTAATGGTTTATATGAAACTTCCATTAGATATATCATCATCAACAAATATTCGTCATTCAATATATAATCATGGTTCACAAATAACAAGTGGTGATGCAGATAGTGTAACAAGTGATTTTTATCATAGTGCTAATGATCCATTTAAGTTAGTTATTTAGATTTGATTTTTCATTGTTTAATATAAATGAAAATCTATATTTTAGTGTACGAGATGCTGATGAAACATCAACTGTTGGTTCACATGATAGTGGAAATGGATTTGATTTAAATAATGATGATCAAGTAACTGATCTTGTACTTAGTTTTGTTAGAAAATTTGTTGATAAAATTTGTGATGAAAGTGGAGTTAATACAACACATAAAAATAGTCTTCATACAAAACTTTATCGTATGTTTATTTCTCTCATCTATTTCACTTTTCTTCTTTTTTTTTTTTTTTTTTTCTTTTCTTATAGAAACTGTTCAAATTCAAATTGAAGTTCTTGAAAAAGTTTATCGTGAAACACGACGAGTTGCACCAATGCCTAAACCATTATTACCACGTTTTGTTACTATACCAGAATTATTTGAACATGAAGAATCTATTGCTCTTCGTTCATATTTATTACCTGATGGAAGAGATGAATTTTTTATTGGACAAAATTCTTTATTACCAGCTGAAGGTGCTTTAATTATGACTAATTATCGATTGATTTTTAAAGGTCGTCCTGTTAATCCAGCAAGTAAGTTCTATAAATATTACGATAATATTTGACTTTAGAATGAGATCTATAGAGGAAGTCTTGCTCAATCTAATGGCATATCACCGAGTTGTCAATAGGAAACACTACCTTTGCCGTATTCGAGTGTATTTTGCGATGAAGATGGAGTCCTTAGGTGATGTTTCGAGAATGTACGATAAAACTTGATAATGATCATAGCATTAGATAAAGGAAACCTTTCTCTATGATTTTAGAACTTCATGTTGGAACTTTGCATAGAGATAGGCGTTAACGAGAGTAGTTTATCATGAAATTTTCATATATTTTGATTTGCTTCTATCCTAAAATCTGCTTGTTTATATGAGTGTTGTCAAAGACACGTTATTACCATTAATATTCACGATAGATTGCTTTCATTAAGACCTGTGTCTATATAAAGTTTCAAATCGAAATTCGAAAATCAGATTTTTCCGGTGTTTCTTAGAAGTATCATGGCATTTATTTAAAATTTATTGTAAAAATGTAATAAACCAAGGACATGAACTCTTTTCAGAGTATTTATAACTCATTGCGATCTACATAATATACAGTCTCAACTCAAAAACGATTGAACAATAGAAGGACTTTCATCGTCAGAGCGTTCAATCGATCATGCAATATCTAGTAAATGAATCCGATGATCGATGTTGACTGCAAATTGTCTTGATATTCAAATCGTATGAAATATGTTAGGCATATAATAAAGAGGCTCTATATATTTCGTCTTTTTTACTGATCATTCATAAAATGTTTTAAATTTTTTTTTATTAATAGTTGCGAATGATTATGTAATTGTTCGTTCATTTCCAATTTCATCATTAATTCGTGAAAAGAAACTTTCTGGTCAATTTCGTGTTGATAATTCAAATATTTGTCTTCATAATGGTATTCAATTACGATCAGCAACATTTCAAGTTTGTTTTACATTTCTTTTAAATAAAATAAAAAAATTATCATTTTATGTTATTATTGTTTTTTTTTTCTTCAGTTAATCAAAGTCTTTTTTGATGATGAAGTTCTTGTTGATGATATCGAAAAATTTCGTACAAAACTTGTTGAAAAACGTTATCCGGAATCTGTTTTTCAAACATTTTGTTTTTCAATTTATAGTGATTATAATCCTGTTATAAGTAAACAAAAAGATGGAACACTCAAGTAAGTCTCTTATCTTTCTGTACAATATAATCTTAAAGAAGTGTCTTGAAGTCTAAGAATGAAAATTTGGACTCGCCACAGTCCGAAACAGATTCTAAGCAAAGACTATTGAAAGACGCTTATTAGAGATAGTCACGAGCTATGATAGTCTAGGATGAAAGTACAAAGCAGTTTCTGTGTAGTTAGCAATAGCAGTTTTTTTAAGTGATAAATTTTTCTATTTTAGAAAATATGGTCGTTATGCTCGTAATGTTTTACGTAAAAAAGGACTTATACCACCAAAAGATTTAACAACACATCAAAATGTAGCATTAAAATCGAATGGTACAGGTAGTAATACAGGTGGTCTTAAAACTTTAAATGGTTCAATACGACATCAACAAAATATATTAATTCGTACACCTGAACCTGTTCGACGTAGTTTAACATTAATAAATACACGTTCACCTAAATCTATATCAACACATAATAATGAACGATCATTAACTGGAGTTTCAACAATAACAACACCATCAACAATACATGAATGTGATGAAGGCATAAGTGGAAATAATAGTGATGATGAAGATGAAGATAGATCATCAAGTAGAATTATTATTATTATTATTATTATTTTTTAAATATATTTATTTTATTTTATTTAGATACAATTGATGAATCAAATAATTATGCAACAATATCAAATGAAACAAAAAGTCTTGAACGTTTTACAGATAGTTTTGTTTATAAAGATTTTGTTCGACAAGGTCTTATTGCAACAACATTTCCATCATCACGTTCAACAATACGTACAACAACTGTTACATCACTTACATCAACAATTTCATTAAATGTTTCATCAAATATAAATGAAAATAATTCAAATAGTAATGGACAACAATTAATTAATTCAACAAATGGAAATAATAATAATAATAATGGAATAAATACAATAATAGGAACAGGAATAAATACAACATCAACAAATAATAATACATTAATGATGACAAGTGATGATGCTTTTCGTATTTCACATATTAATCGAAATTTTGGTTTTTGTAGAAGGTAAATTAGTTAATAATATTAATATGATTGTTATGATTGTTTTTTAAATTTATTGAATCTTTTTAAATTTTCGAGATAGTTTTTTTCTTTTTTGTTCTTGATCGGATATGCTGGGAAGGATGTTTTTATAAGTTTTATCTGAATACATCGTAATAAAAAATTGTTTATCATCTATTCAATTTTTTTCTCATGAATTTGTTTTAAAAAGTTTACATCAGTTAGACTCGAATCCTTATTCAGTTCACTTTTTTTTTGTCTTGTTACTTAGAACTTTCTTTTGATCAATATGTCATAAGAAGATTTCTATCCTAAATTCTGTTACACAGTATTAAATAACTATATTCTATTGGATCTATTCGAAGTATATAATTCTTTCGGCAGGCTTATTATACAAAACACTCACATCCTTAAGTCCTGCTAAAATAGTAACAGATATCAGAATTTTTTTAATATATCACTTTTCAAAATATGGTTTAATTCAATTTCTCTTTGAGAGAAATTAATTAATTTTATTTTAAAAAGTTGCAACCTGAACTTCGTTTTTACATAAGCAATCTATTTTATCAAATGATTAAAAACTTCTTGCCTGAAAAATCATCTTGCTTCTCCCGCTAATCGCGTATGACGTTTATGATTTATTTGACTAGATATTTCAAAAAATAGATACATGAGCCCTAGGCACGTGCCGAACGGGATCCCACGGGGTGCGGCCCCCTCCCCTCCGGACTGAAGACGCCTGTAGGGTGTACAGGTATAGGTTTTTTTCCCAACAAATTTTTGTAATTTTCCCATGGTGGGTACCCTCTAAGGACTTTGGGCCCTTCCCTGAGAAAATTTCTGGGTACGTGCCTGATGAGCACTAAAATGAGATAGCTCAAGATCAATCAATTACTTTGTTATTTTCTATCGACCGATAAAATAAAACATTATTAACAGTTATCGAGTCTAAATTAAATCTCCCAGCTAGACCTTCTATCGAAAAGGTTTTTGACAAACAACTGTTCCAAAATTTTTCTTGGATATGAGAGCAAAAAAAAAATTCAACTTGCTTTTCTGCATAGAGTCACTAATGAACGATTAATTGCTTATATACTTCTGTTCTTTCTTCAGGTCCCTTGAAGAGATTGAGAAATGAATAGTAAATATTTTGTCCAATTTCAGTAACTTATTACAATTTTTAAAAAATTTTCAAGCTGACATTTAATTACATTTATTTTATCTTTCTAGCTATCCATTGGTACTTGTATTACCTAAAGATATTCTTGATGAAAGTTTAAAAAAAGTAGCACGATGTCATAAACTTCAACGGTAAATTTTTATTAAAAATTTTTGTCTTTTCATATTCATATAATTTTTCTTTTTGTTGTTCTTTATTCAGTGTTCCTGTTATTGTCTGGCGTAATCCACGTACAAAATCTCTTTTATTACGTGGTTCTTCATTTTGTAATAAAGGTTTTATTAATTTACTTGTTAAAGGTCCACAAACAAATACAAGTATGTATTGAATTTATTTTTTTTTTTGTTTTTGAATAAAACAAAATTTTATTTTTTTTCATTTTTTAGGTTCATCAAGTGATACAAATGCAAGTATAGAACAAGAACGTTATTTTGATGCTATTGTTAAATTAACACCAACAAAAATGCCATTTTCATCTGATCTTGGTGATGGTGATGAACCTGAATCAACTGATATAACACCATTATCTGTTCGAAAAACAACACATCATTCAGCAACAAATCGTTTACAAAATTTTTTACCAACACGTGTTTTACATGATCGTCCACGAACAAGTAAGTTTTTCAAAAAAAAATTTTGTTTTTATTTTCTTTAGTTTTTCTAAAAATTCATCATATCGTATGTAATATATAATTAAAACAAAAAATTTTCATCTCTAGAAAAAATGATAAAAAATCAAAATGAAAATATATCAAATAATCGATTAATAAATAAAAATCGTATATCCGCTCTTCTCAAAAGTTCGAGTAGTACAACATTAACGGATCATATGCGATTGGCTTTCGGTAAAAAAAAAACAAAAAAAAAATAAACGATGACCATTGCCTAAATTTTATACCTATTTGCATCAGCTTTTTATTTTTATTTTTTGTTTATATCCTATTTTTATAATATTATATCAGCTTATTGCTTTTGAATGATTCTTTCTTTTTTTATTTTTTGCTATGATATGATTTAAAATAATATTTAAATTTATTTTTTTAGCAAGTATTAATGTTCATTCAAATGCTGATACATTACCGAGAAGTGAAACAGCAAGTTATACATCAATGAATTCACCAACACCATCATCAATAACAACAAGTGGTGGTGGTGGTGGTAGTGGATCAACAAATTTTGATATTGATTTTAATGAATCTATTTTACAAGTTCATAAACGTTCACCACTTTATATTATTGGTGATCGTGCTCAACATCGCGTAAGTTTTAATTTTATTGAATTTGATCTAAATTATACAAAAAAATTTCAAGCTATGTTGAAATCATTTTTTCGATTGAGACGATATTCATTTGATGAATACTAGGAAAATTTATTTATACATGAGAAAATTTCGAATATTGAATACTTCAACATAGGGCGCGCTTGTGCAGGACAATTAAAAGAAAAGAATTTTTCACTTAAAATATTATGTGTAAGTATATTGCACAAAATAGTTGTCCCCCGGACTTCTAATTTGTTTCGTAGGTTAAAACTTTGATAACTTAGAATTTTCAAACTGGTTAGTTACCGATGAATTAAGAATTAACTTCTATACTTTCCCAGCTCCTTGTTATTCTATAGGATGAGTGGTGTATTTAATTCAGATGCGTAAGCAGATATATTTCAATTAACTCGAAAGAATTGAAAAATAAGCAATACCAAAATTCTATAAAATAGATAATGCAAATCTCATGAATCTTTCTCTACATCTTCACGAGGGAACGTTTTCAACTATCAAATTCCTTTTGAGTTCTGACTTTATGCATAAGATAGACCCTAGTGAGGTATGAAAAACCTTAAGAGATTAAATTTCCTTAGGTCTTCTATCCAGAGTTAGAGGCATTTTATTGAAATTTTGAGCCTAGGACATAGCATATACGAACAAATTGAATGACGGTATTTCGATCTGAGATTTTGCCTACAGATAGGTCTATTGATGATTAGACTATCCTGAAAATTTTAGCTCAAAAGCACATTTCCTTCCCGAGATATTAACGTCCCAAAAAATTACTCATATAGGCCAACAAATGCTATAATTTTCTGTTTTTTGGGACGTTAATATCTGGGGAAGGAAATGTTCTTTTGCGGTGAAATTTTCAGGATATTCTAATCAACAATAGACCTGTTTGTGGGCAAAATCTCAGATCGAAATACCGTCATTCAATTTGTTCGTATATACTATGCCCATAGGCTCAAAAATTCCAGTAAAATGCCTCTAACTTTGGACAGAATACCTAAGGGAATTTAATCTCTTGAGGTTTTTCATACCTCACTAGAATCTATCTTATGCACAAAGTCCGAATTCAAAAGGTATTTGACAGTTGAAAATATTCCTTCGTTAGTTCAAATAACTTCTTTCTTTATTCCAATCGATCATCGTTTAACTTCATGCAATCTCTTATTTTTCTATTCAAGACTTGGTCATAATTCTATTACTTTAATAAAAATTTCTATTGTTACATTTCAAGATTGTATATAACAGTTCACGAAAGAAATTCGTTTGTTCGTTAATAGAAAACATGTAGAACAAACAAAATTACATACATCAGAGAAATTACAACGAACAAACGATAAACAAATCTATTCAATGATTGATAATTTTCTTTTTACTCGTTTGGATAGAACAGGTTTCTTTTACATTTGATAGATTAAAAGCTTGAAATTGAACTTCTTCTTCTTCTTCTTTTTTTTTGGTGTGTATTGAAGGTTTATTACATGGTTAGGGATTTGCTTATGAAAACTTTTATTATTCTATAGATATTATTTTAAACTTCTCCTTTTTTTTTCAGACTGGTCGTCTTGAACAATTTCAAAATTATTGTTTTCTTCCACTTGAATTTCATGATATTAGTCAAATAAAAACAAGTTTTAAAAAAATGACACGTGCTTGTGTTCCAAGTATGTCAGCACAAATATCAAATAATCATGCACATAGTAATGTAAATGATATATCATCAGTTACATTACCACATTCAGTATCATTTTATAAACTTATTGAAGAATCACGATGGCTTTATCAAGTATAAAATTAAATTTTTTATCTTTTACAAATAATTTTTCTTTGTTTTTTTTTTATAGTTACAAAAAATTTTAATGGTTTGTGTATATATTGTTCAATTTATTGAAGATCATGCATCATCAGTAATGATATGTGTTGAAGATGGTTGGGATACAGCTGCACAACTTGTTTCAATAAGTGAATTATTACTTGATTCATATTATCGAACATTTGAAGGTTTTCAAACATTAATTGAACGTGAATGGTTTGCATTTGGACATCGTTTTTCACATCGATCAAATCAAACAGCAACAAATAAAACTGGTTTTGCACCTGTTTTTCTTCAATTTCTTGATCTTGTTCATCAAGTAAGTTATTATTTAAAAGATATGAAAAACAAAAAAAAAACTTTTTTTATATAAGATTTGGAATCAATATCCAAGTGAATTTGAATTTAATCAATATTATCTTCGTTTTCTTGCTTATCATCATTTATCAAATCGTTTTAAAAATTTTATGCTTGATTGTGATTGTGAACGTAAAAAAGATCGTAATTGGTATGTTGATACAACTCGTGATTCATTAACAGATGATATTACTGGTAAATTTATTTCATAAAATAAACAAAAACAAAAGAAAACTTCTTTTCTTTTCTTTTTTTTTTAAAGGTTTATATCGTTGTAATACAATAAATATTTGGGATTATATAACAAAGGTTAATCGAGAATCAGCTAGATTTTATAATTTTCTTTATTCACCATCAAATGATAGTTGTGTTCTTCGTCCATCATATAAAATGTTTTCACTTGATATATGGGATTTTTACTTAAGTGAAACATTAGAAACAGGTTGTCCATATGATCTTGATATAGCTTTAGCTGAACATGAAGAACATTTAAATGATATAGAATTAAAACAACGTACTAAATGTATATCAACTATATATGATGATATTAGTATTTGTTTACCGGATTTTTTTAATAATATTGTTTCTGTAAGAAAATTGTTTAATAAATAAATATTAAAATATATATTTTGTTTTTTTTTCGTTCTAGGAAATGTCTAATACATTACAATATACAAATACTGAATCATGGAAGGTTTATTGGGATAAAATTGAAAAACCTGAACGAGAAAAAGTACAGGTAAGTGTCATGTAGATTTTATTTAGTTTTAAGTTTTGAAATTACGAATTTTTTTAATATTTTCTTAATAATGTTATATAAAGTTCGGAATGACTGAATGTGTAATTTAATTTTTTTGGCTAAACAGTTCGAGGAAATTTTTATTCGGTAGTTTTTGAAAACTAACAATATTAGATTTTTCTTAAATTGCATAGAAAAACATACTTGAAAAAAAAGAAAGTAAAAATATTACCGATGTTTTGATTGATTTAACTTTTCAATTTTATAAATTCTTTTTGTTATAACTGTAGCGTCCAGGTTTCAACATTAAACGAAAAAAGGAAATAAAACTAACAGTAAGAATCAGATAATAGTTTCTTTTTTTTTAGTCTAGTTAATGCATATTAGATGTTATGATAAAACTTGATACAATAAATTTCATATATATATACAGTAGTGAACAAAAACCTTCGCCCTAGTCAAAAATTTGTGTACACATAATTCATCAAGAATATTGTTCATTAGTATTGTGTTATCATTACTATTTAATTCCAAAGAGTATAATAATAGATAGAAACTATCTTTGTTGTTAGTCTTATCATTCTAAAAAGAAAAAAGTATTCTGTGGCAATCGATTTCTTAATATGTAATACTATGTTATTATGTTTAGTATTGTAACTGTAATTATATTCAATCGATAGATCTTAGTGAATAGATAGTTTGATAAAACTTCAATATCCTAGTTTAAAAAAAAAATTCGTATGTCACATTTGAGAAAATTTCCTTTTGAATTATAGTTCAAAATTTTTGAGAAGTTTCCTTTACAATTCCATATAATTATAATTCAAGTTTCAGAAACAAATCTTATAAAATGAAGTTAATTATTGATTGAAGAAAGAGATTTCAGTTAAATTTTTAATAATGAAAAGTGTAAAATTTTGTTTTTAATTTATAATGCTTAAAATGAAAAAAAAAACTAGGCATTCTCTATCATAATTCTCTTTGTAAACAAGTCATAATAGCATCTTAATGTCAATAACTTACATTCTTGATGAAGTATATAAATACAAATATATTTAGACATGCTCGAGTGCATACAGTAGTTGAGATGGAAGAGTTTTGTCTACTATTGAACATCCTAATAGACTTAATTAATACTACAGTGTAATATAAAAATTTCTTCTTTTTTTCTTAACGAATATCATCTATAGTAGTTCTTACATATTTTTTACAAGTAGTCTCTTTAATCTTATCATATTTACTAACATATAGATATTTGAATTCTAATAGAAGAATCTTTAATATAATTTAAAAAACAAAAAATGAATTTTATAGCGTTTATCAATGCAAGATGAAGCATATAAACGAATGAATTCAAATCAAAATTATCTTCAACCACAACGATCATTATCATCATCTATATCATCATCACGTACATCATCAATGTATGGTACTCATGCATATGAATTTAAACAATTTACAACAGCACAAATTTGTGATGCTTGTGATGAATTAATTGATTCAAAAAAATCACCGAATGGTTTGTAATCATATTAGTTTTTTTGTTTTTTATTCTAAAAAGAAAACAATAAAATAATTTTTTTTTATGAATAGAAGGAATACGAGCACTTCAATGTCGTGATTGTTTAAATGTTTGTCATGAAAAATGTCGATCAATAGCATCATGTAAACCATGTCGACGAATTGGTGTTAGTGGATCATCAGATTCTCAAATTGTTGTTAATTCAACTCGATTTGAAACAGGCAGTGTTACAGGTAGATTGTAAAAAAAAACAAAAAAGCTTATCAATTTTTTTTTTACACCTCAAATTATAATAACATACATCATTTCCAGATATTACTGATGTTTTATTGGAGAAAGCGGGTAAAATTTTACTAGAATTTCTTTGCTCGTTTAGAATATACATATATGTGTATTGTTACTAACTAATTATTAGATTTTAATAGTCATAAAGAAAGTTTAACTAAATTGAATATTTTAAGAATAAGAAGAAAAAAAAAACTTTTTTTATGGTTATTACAATCCGATAAGAAATAGAATCTAATTCTATTTGTAGATATAACAAACTTCTTTTTTTTTTTTTTTTTTCTTCGAAAAACTTATCAAAAATTTAATATTTTCAGGTGTTTATGATCATCATGGATTATCACATCCATTTTCATCATCAAGTGTAACTGGAAATAATTCAGGTCCACATCATCGAACACATGAAGGTTATTTAAGAAAACGAGGTCATTTATTAAAACAATGGAAAGAACGATGGTTTGTACTTGATTCTGTACGACATGAGGTAATTTTTTTTTAATTTATTCTATATTATATTTTAATAATTATTTATTTATTTCTAGCTTCGATATTATGATAGTAGTGATGATCAAACAGCAAAAGGTGTTATTCTTTTAGCTGATGCTGTAGAAATTCTTCCTTATACTGGACCATTTCCAAATGCATTAAGACGATTTGATAGTCGAGCTGCTTTTGAAGTAAGGAGACCCCAAAAAAAAAAACAAAACATGTAGTTCTATTTAAAATATTTATTGTTGTTTTATTTTTTTAATATTTAGTTACATACAAATCGTCGTATTTATAATTTTATAGCTGCAACACCTCAAGATGCTCAAACATGGACCGAAAAAATCAAATCATGTCTTCTAGATTCTTAGATATACATTTCGAATAGAATCTCATCAGTATTATTGTCATCGTCTTTTGTTTTTTTTTGTGTGCAATATTCACTTACTTTTTTCTTTTGTCTTTGCTTTGCATGAAATGAAAATTTCATACCTATTTTTTTTTTGCTGGCGCTTATTTGTCATTATGTGTCGATTAGGTTAGAGTTATTATCCTTTTTAATTGCTATGAAGAAAAAGATTAAAGAGCAATTTTATGTATATACATATATATGTTTGTGTGCGTGTGTGATTTTTTTTTTTTTGTTCTTTCGAAAGAATGTCATTTATTTATAACTGTGTGTGTGTTACAACAAAAACCAAAAGAAAAACTTTCACCTGCTTATGAACGAATAAGAATTTCGCTTAAATATTGCAAAATATTCGATTAATATTAATATCATCGATGAATAAAAGTCGAAATTAAACTACTATATACACATACGAATTGACAAGATGATATGAGCTTCTTTAGGGTTTATGACAAATAGTCACAGTGTAGTATTCGTCGTAACGCTGAAAAATCGAATCTCGAACGAATTTCTGTGATTATCTTATAACTAACTTGCCGAATAGAATGTTGCTTAATGGCTAATTCAATACTCCAATACTTTTTCTACAATTATGACTAGTTGTAGTTATGGAGAGACGATCGGCTCAACACAGAGTTCTTGTGCTCAATTTTTTGAGCTTCCCATACATACTGCCTAAGTATATACCAGCCATGATCGATGGTACTAAGGTTTACATAGAGTATCTTGGAGATAAATATCAAAAAACGTAGCTATTCTGTCATTGCGACGAACAATCTATTCAAGGACAAAAAATATTAGGTATGATCATAAATACTAATATTTAGTGAATTCGCCTATTTGGGCATGGAACTTTTTCACATGTCATCAACATCATCTTTATGCGGCATTGTACATGATCGAATCACATGTCTGAAAATTGAGATTTATGGAAGGTGCAATAGAAACTACACTTCTGTTAAACATGTGGTAAATATTTCTACAAAATATGCTAAATTTATGATGATGTAACAGTATCAAAGATGAGAATATAAATACAAAAATGGTGACAATAGAATTGTGCATTGAGCTACGAAACTTGATCACGTCGAAGTCTAATAGAACATATTAATGGAATCAGTCAATCGCGTTTATACGTAGGTCAAATATACAATAACTAAAATGTTCTATGTAATGCGTCAATAAATATCGATATTTGGGTTTCCATTGATTTTAAAACTCAGCTATAGAACAAATCACTTTGTTTAAGGTTTGTTTTCTATATTCATAAATAAAGAATGACGAGAATTTTTTCAGACTGAATGCGACTACGAGAAGTAGTATCCATACTATAGGCAGAGTGCAATTACACGTTGCAAAATACTGTTTTTGAACATTTATCATATCAAATCACTTATTTTTTTCAAAATAAACAATAAACTAGTAGGTAACTATATCACTGTTTGCTACTGAGAAAACAAATGATGATAACATGTACGAAGTAATAATATCTAATACTTCTGACCTATAAATAGTAATAAAAAATAGATTATCAGATTGTTATTCACTGGTTATTATCCTAAACAATGTTATAACTAACAAATAAGCCTTAATTCGTTTAATCACCATGTCTATGTATTAATGTGATTATGTTGAATGATATGTAATATACAAATTAACTATCAAAAGTTGTTGTTTTTGTCAACAATTAATGTGACCGACGTCTTTAATTTAAAATTGAAATAAAAAACATGAATGATAATAAAATCATCATTTATGGATAGTATTTATTTTTTACTTTGAAATGTTTCTATACACATCATAATTTAAGTAAAACGAGACAAAATTTATGATAATGTGTTTGTTCACTGCATTTCTTCCTCTCGCTTTCGCGCATTTTTTTTTGTTGAATATCTTTTGAATAAAAGCAAGATATTCAAAATCATCATAAACATTCCAACAAAAAAGTTTTTTTTTCTATATGAGAACGTGAATCTCAATGAGAATACACAATCACATTCTATTCTCAACGTTAAATATATGAAAAAAACTTGAAATAAGTTTCGAAATGTGTACTCATTACAGGAACAAGACTTTCGATGATTTTCTTATGAAGGAGAAACAACAGAAATGTTTAAACAGTAACTAATTTTGATTCACCTTTAGTACATAAGACAAGATTTAAAGTATGTTGGAAATTACATGTATGCATGACAAGAGAATGTTTTTCTTTCCAAGTAAACAACAGAACGAATTATCGAGTCAACATAACCCTTCACCATAGGATTACTACCTACTAAATAGAAAAAAATCGTTTTTTTTTCACAGTCGGCGTGGCAGAACAGTAGAAAGTTTTTCGCTGTTTTTTCCAACATTCAGCAATTTAAATTGATTGATTTCGTAGCGAATTCTATCTTTCATCATACAATTTGAAATTTCTTTTATTATTTTTCATATTGTCAATAATAGAAGTCGTAAATTTTTAATATTTCAACCATCGACAGAAATGCTTAGATTTAGCCAATGGATTTGTCTCATGATTTTCAGCTCTACTATATGGTCAGCACCTCTTAACAGCACTAATGAAACAGTCACGCCATTATTTGATTCCAGCAGCTCGAGCTCGATACTTCATGACAAAAGTAAACTAAATTTTTTCCAACATTCTAATCGGTTGTCTCTGCTTAGGCGAATCACATACACGACCTCCACCTCCACCTCCTCCACGTCCGCCTCCTCCACGTCCGCCTCCTCCACATGGTCCATCAGATGGTTATTCTTCTGGTGGATCATCTGCATCAGCTACAGCAACTGCCGTAGCATACTGCTTTTCTGGCGATATGTTGGTGACACTTACTACTGGTCAACGTATTCCAATTGGAAAACTTAGAGCTGGTGACAAATTACTTACTATTGATGGATCGAAAATCATCACAAGTGAAATGGTCATGATGCTTGATAAGCATGCATCAATTGAAGGTACCATAGATATTATCTTGATTGATCTCTTCTCTATAATTTATTTTAGGCATCTTTTACACAATTACCACAATGTCTGGCCATAATATCAGTCTCACTGGTGTTCATTTAATTCCTATTATTACTGTCGATGGTCTGTTAAATTATGTACCTGTCAGAGATATAAAGAAAGGTGATATATTATATGTTGTATCAAACGGTACACTCATTCAATCACCAGTCATCAATGTAAAATTGGAAGTCAAAGTCGGCTATTTTAGTCCATTGACTACTGCAGGTAAAGATAGTCATTCTTATGGAATATATTTAATAACAATTTTAATACAGGCACACTTCTTGTTAACGATATTCTCGTAAGTTGTTATGCCAATGTGAAAAGTCCCGATAACGCGCATTTCTACATGGCACCATTTCGTTGGTATTATCAACTTTTTCGATCACTATCGATCACAGAACCATTTGGTAGTCATGCAACTGATGGAGTTCATATTATTCCTCTATCTATGTACAATTTTGCACGTTGGTTTCGACCATCAACACTTTTACATTAGTTATTTGAATCGAATCAAATTGTAATTCTATTTAAATACTGCACATGAAATAAAAATTGTTTATTTTAGCATCATTTTATTCGACAAATTAGTATAAATGATGCGATTTTATTCGAAGATTTACTCTGTAATTTTTTAAAAAACTGTTGGAATTGGATGTTTTTCGTTTCTGATCCATAGTACCCAATGTTTCAGTTCTTAGTCATGTCATGTTTCTAAAGTTGTTGCATTCGATACAAAAAAGGATGTAAAGCCAAACATCGATGTTTGTCATAGATGAATTAAATATTCAAAACACAATACAATCTATATTTGATTGTAGACTCAGTAATACATGTTCCCAGATGTCTGCGTCTACTTTGTCTCATCTTTTTTATCAGAAAGATCATTAATCTGTCTTTCTTTTCTTTTTTATCCTTTTTCTTTTTCTCTAATGATAAATAAGTCGATTGATTTATAAAAAAATGAAAACAAAGGCTGTTTTTCTCAAAACAAACTCGTTTGTGTCCTTAAAACAATGTCTATATAAGAAAAAAGGACATAATACACACTCACACTCTTCATCACTGCTGTATAATATATTCATAAGCTAATGGACAAAGACATCAAAATATTTTCCAATAGTCTCATTTACGTTCTGACCATAATAATCCTATGAACAAAGCAGTTTCATAACCACTAACAAACGAGTGTAGGTGTGAATGTGAATGTGTGCGAAGTTCTGCAGCACTTCACTTTTGGGCATACCCACATCCATGTTTACGTTGATATTGATGATCTAACTGCTTCCTTTTGTTGCTTATCTAAAGCACTAACTTAGCTAAGAAATTGATAAAGTCCGGATGTGAGTAGGCCAGGGTATAAGTGTTGATATTCTTACTATAACCACACCGATATGCACATTCCTAGACACATCCCATATCCTTAATTTAACAGATTGCTCGAAAAAAACTTGTCCAATAGGAAATGACTACTGTTCATTGGTATATTTTTAGTTACACCATGACTCAACATTTAGGTGTGAAATTTTCTGTAAATATAACATAGATGCTGTCAGTAATTTGGGTGCAACAGGCTCCTCAACAGCTAACTTTGTAAGATAGTTATTCACAAAACAAAATTGTCCAAAGAATTAAAATATCGAGTATTGTTTTATCTATTTGAAGTTTAGAAAGAGAATACTTTGAAAATTCTTAACAAGATAAAAAGAAACTACTGACATGTATTTCAATCACTTGATTTATCTATTTATTGTATTTAATAAACTTAAACTGCGATCAACGAGAGACATGATCCTAATTTCTTCTATTTGATACTAAAATTAACACAGGAATTTATTAAAACGATGCTGTGAAAACTGCTGATCCCATTTGTTATTGAAAGAGTGCTATTGAATATATCATTAATTAGATCGATTTGATTCGACCAAGTCTTATTCCTGCTTTTGTCATGACTAGATCATAGTCATATGATAAAGCTTTGAATTCAATGGATATTCAGAGAAAAAAAACAATTTCTACCACTATGCACAGTGTATATGATGATACAAAACACCTTACAGATTTTATCGTTAAGAAACTTTCTTTCTGTGACATAAAGACTATGATATGAAAATTAAACAATGCAAAAGTTTTATCTTCTATGGAGATTTTTTAAAGATCTGAAGGATGGTATTAACTCTCTTTGATCAGATGATTGTTTCAGCTAATTTAAAGTCTTCAAATTAAGCCATTCTTCAAATTGCATTAGTCGAATATTTTATTAGAAAAATTTTCTTCCATTATCTCATCTATCAATCAGTTTAGTTACTGTGTATGTGCGATCTTGTCTCTGCTACTCAGACGTTTATATCAACAAAAAAAATCAATTAATTGAATGAACAGAGCAAGAAAAACACACTTATGTATGCATGCATAAAAGATATTGATAGCTGATGATTGTATTAATGTCGTACTATTACATTCAAAACAAGATGCCTCGGTTAAAAATCTTGCCAATGATACAGTAAAAAGTTCAGGATCCTGAATGAACGCAAAATGACTCGTTCTTGGTAAAATTAGTTCTCCTGCTTGTGGAATCCAACTAGTCATCGTATTAGGCTGATCTGGAAAAATAGCTTCTTCATGATCACCATCAACTATCCAAACGGGCAAATTTTTATCAATTTTTGCAAAATCTTCTTGAGACCAATTTGGAAGAGTAGCCCACATTGTTGTTAGATTATTGTATAAATTTGGATAATTTTTCTTCATCGGATTTAATGCTTGATACTCGACTTGAGTTCGTGCAAAAAAGGCTGTAAAAACAGACGAAGCAAAAACATCTTTCGTACCAGAAGGAATGTAGTTTGCAGCAAATGCAAACAATGAACTCAGTTTGTTTGGATATTTCATTGCTAAATTAAGACCAATAATCGCTCCATCACTCCAGCCAACTAGATGTGTTCGTTGAATGCCAAGATGATTCAGCAAAGCAACAACATCAGATGTCATCAAATCGTATGTAATATTTGCAGATGACATTGTACTTCTACCGTGTCCTCGAGAGTCCATAAGTATACATGTATACGATGATTTAAGCTGTTCAACTTGTAATGCCCAATAATCACTATGGGCAAAACCACCATGAAGAAAGAGAACAGGAATACCCTCCTTTGAACCATAAACAGAGTACCATATAAGGATATCATTGATCTGAACACTGTGACTCGAAAGAGGAGAAGAAGAAAATTGAGGAGTTGGCGGTAGTCGTAACCATGGATATATTGAATATAGTACGGTAGAATTTTGAGCTATAACATATGGAAGGATACATAAAAGTGAGAAAAGTATTGTGTGCATGTTGATCTTTATTATTGTACTTTAGTGTATTTCAGCTGCCATCGAACACTGTAAAAATAAATACTCAGGTAACAATAATGTCTAGTGAAGTAGAAAATGGAGAAAAAAAAATTTGCACGTGCCCATAAAAAAAAATGCAAAAGGCAAAACACATCATTTTCATCACATCTTTATTTTTCAATAAACGAAAAAACAAAAAAAAATATTACACACCATCATTAATATGTATGACGAAGATGTGTTGTTGCCTTTTCGTGTATCGTACATCTATCTAAATGTCATTTAGTTATTTATATCTCTCTCGTTCTGTAGTAAAGATTTTTTGTTATCAACTACAACATGCCCGCTCCTATACAACTTTATATTTTCAAAACTTGTTCACCCATCAACAAATGTTATGCATAGTTCACACCAAATGAATCAATTTACTAATGAGATAGATGATAACAAAAGAATTATGCTATGTAGTAAGAACAAAAAGAAATCATATGAAAAATCAAAGATCTTCATCTATGGATGATATTGTAAGTTATTACGGATCAATCGTCATCATTTACAAATACCAATAACATATTATCATAAGGGTCTAAGTGTATGGGTTGGTTGTGAATGGGTGTGGGTGAGAGTGTGGATGTGGGTGTGGACATGGACGTGGGTGTGGATATGGATGTGGGTGTGGATGTGGGTATGGGTGAGAGTGTGGATGTGGATGTGGGTGTGGGCATGGGTGTGGGTGTGAATGTGGGTGGTTGGGTGTGGGTTAAGAGAATATTCAATTACCCACACCCCTCATCCACACTCACACTCACACCACCCACACCCAAACCTGTCAGAGGAGCTATAATCGTCTTGTCTTAATACAACTTTATACTAATGAAGAAATGTGTTCAATTGATCAATCGTTTGCTCACCAAAAGATGACGGATTATCAGTTATCGACCGTATTCATTCATATGATAACTACAAGAAATTCCTTCAGATGTTTATACAGCGGTTTTCTATAAAGCCTGTTTTTGAGACTAACAAACATTTTGATAAGGTCGTTTTTGATCTAGTCAGGTTATAAAGCATATTGCTTTGTATGTAAAGCAATTATATTTTCTGTTTTTCAAAAATGAGTTTGAAGTAAAATAATGTGTTCTTGAAGATTTTCACATTGAAATATTGACAAGTATCTGATCTATGCATTAAAGTGGCTCGATTCTACAACCAAACAAAATAAACGACTTGATAGAGAAAAAGTTAATATTTTCTAGACGATTCGATATGCTCTATAATCTAGATAGATAAAAAATAATATTTGTTCGCCGAGAAAATTGATTTTATACTAAACCGACATTCAAAGAACTATGGAGATTTCACTTTGTCATACGCGAAGTCAACATGGTCGACGACATGCAATCCACTAATTTTCGTTAAAAAAACACCTGACCATTCAAAAACATTTCATCGTAAGTTTTATCCAGAGGCTAGTGGAAATTACATTGAAGGCGGTTGCTAAGGTCTCTAATGGCGAGTTTGTTGCTAGATGTCTATAATGGGGGCCTAGGGTGAAGAGAGAAAGACGCAAAACCTCAATTTAAAACTTACAATCCCTATTTTCTTTGAAAATATATGTGAGTTCTATCAGGAAGAAAATCTAATGGAAGTGAAGGATGGTATAGCCAATGAAAAAGTGTCACTTCCTTTTCTCAAAGCAGTAAGGTGCACACCCCTTATAACACTTCCATTGCATACCCTTGATTGAGTTCAATCAGATATATGTACCCAAAGTAGATTCTTTGATGAATTTATTGAAATCAAATCGCTTGGAAAACATCAACATTCTTAAAATAGATGTAAAGTAGAAAGTTACTAATTCTCTGCTCATTCTACTCTGCAATCTTCTCCTACAAATTTGAATCAACATATTAAGAATTCTCATTTTTCTTCAATTTTTTCTGCTATTTGATAGACCGTATAAAGCTGCATTTGTGCTAAAAATTTCACTTTTCAACTCAAAGTCATCGTAAAGATATAGATTAAACAATTTTTCTGACGGATTGTCAAAAAGAGTGTATAACTGAGTACTTCTTAATGATATGCAGTAAACGTTAATGTAGAAATTTGTTTTTGGATGATTTTAGTTTTATTTTGTAGAGGTTCTTTAGTTATATGTGCAGTATAATTTTGGTAATTATTCATGCAACTATAGATGAGATATAAATCATAATATAACAGAAGAAGCGACAATAAAAAATGGACAAGGAACGATTTAATGATCTCACATCCTTACCTCAGTCTCAACAAGAAGATGTTTAAAAGAAAAAAGATCTAGCAAGAGGGTATAGCCCATGGAAAAACATCTCTTCTTTTAGAATAACATTCACCTAGTTGCATGAGATTATGGATCCAACTTTGAGCATATTTGGATTTGTAATACGGAAGAAAAAGAAAACTTCCAACAAATACCAAGACTTTTGGATCACCCTGTATATCTTCATGATTATAGCCATGTACCTGTACTCGTTTGTCTAAGTGTTTTATCTCGTTGCATACACCCAGGTCGATGATTTCGGTCTCCGAAAATAATCAGTTTTCACTGTAACCGCCAGGAAAACACTAGACAAAATCCGAAAAATCTTCCACCAGAAGACTGTTTCCATGTTCCAGGAATTTCTGGTGTTTTTCTGCCGGAACCGGCCCGTAATTCTTGATTCGAACATGAACGTTTGAACGATGGATGTCAAGTAATAATAACGTGTAGTGTAGTGTGAATCAACTCATTGTATTCTTTCTTATTGAATTAGTACAGATTGTTGACATTAACGCCAATTTATGAACAAATACAGTAGAAAACGACGATCATTCAATGAAGCGTTTACAGTTAGCGTGTCGGATGTGTTACGATATTATTTGACTGTCGTTTACAGTCGTCGTATTGTTGCACTGGTCGTTTATGACGGTGTTTTACGATCATCGTTAACGATGGCCGTAATAGACCATAAAACTTCGTTTACGAAAAAACAAAATTTTTATTTTATTTAGATTTAGTCGAACACCTGATGCAATTGTATGTATGAATTCATAAAAATGAAATTATTATATTTTATGTAGATTTCGTTCCACAGCTGATGCAATCGTAAGTATGAATTCATAAAAAAATAAATTAACATTATTTTATTTATATTTGATCGAACAAAAAATCCAGTCGTACGTATTCGTTTGAAAAATTAGCTTCAGTATTAATCGATAAAAGAAACTAGATCTGTGGTGTTGACAGCATGAGGGAGAATGGTGAGGTATGTTGAAAAAGAACCGTCGGTTGACCGTGGTTAACCACCGGTTTTCGACCGATCGGAATGGCATACGTTCTCTGTTTTACGCTGCATCGTAAGCTGCTACCGAAATAGCAGCCATTCTCCACCATTTTCAGCTCATTTATCAACTATTCTTACGACTTGAACAACCAGAAAAATGCAAAGTATACAAAAATATTTCTTTCTACCATACTTGGTAGAATTGTTTTTGCTTATCATTTTCGTTTTAAAAAAATGATTCGGAGTCCATTTAGAAATGACAATATCATGATCAAAATACTGAAAACTGTACAAATAGGTTAAAATGCGAATTTTGACAGTCACAAACTGAAAACTATCCATAAAACGTTTATTCGTGTATCTTAAAATGACTATATTCTGAAGAGATGTGATATGGTGAGTTTTGTAGAGTAATGTTTGTTCTTCAAAATCTTTTTATCGATTTTTCAGTTACAGTCGAATAGTAGGCCTAAATCTTGGTGGGACATGGTGGCCGAAATTCACCATATAACGCCTCTTTTCATGATCAAATTTGTTCACAATATTCCATCAAGACTTCGGCGTGTTATTCATCTGAATATTAAAAACCGATTATTAGGTTCCGTAGAGTAAACTTTAGCGTACAAACACGCACCATGTTACATCTCTTCGAAATACATAATCATTTTGAAATATATGAATCGACTTTTATGCATAGTTCGTAGTTTTTTATTGTCAAAATCGTAGTTTAGTCTATTTTTCAATGTTAAGTATTTTGACCATGATATCATCATTTCTAAATGAATTCCAAATCTTTTTTTAACGAAAATGATCAGTAAAAACAACTGTACAAACTACGATAAAAAGAAACATTTTTGTATACTGTGGATTTTTCTGGTTGACTATTTTATTACATTTTAGGAAGATTGTATGAATCATTTGACAATTATTATCTCTTCCTTTATTCATTATTAAATATTGAATATAAATTATAACATACAAATGAATAAAATATAACTAATATACAAATATACAATATATAAATTTATACAATATAATATAGAAATATATAAACATATATATGAAATATACAATCATACATATGGTAACTAACGTCTCGAAAGCGGCACGGTTTCCTTCAGAGTTTCAAATTTTGCTCTGAAATAAGAATAAACATACGATCGATTTATTTTTTCTTTTCATATATTCTTTCTTTGTTATTTTGTCTTCCTTTGAAGTCTATTTAATACTAGTACATACAAGACGATTTAACTGGTACGTGAAAGAGTTAATTTTCTTCGTTTGTACCAGTGTCGCCATCTTGTCCGTACTCGTATTATATAGACTTCAAAGGAACAGAAAAAGCACAAAAAAAGGATATATGGTCTAAATCAGCGAAAATAGGACATTCACCGGTTGTATTTGAATGCAATTCTCTATTAGTATAGGTTTTTTGATTGAACTGTTTTTGCATAGGCTTATGTAATATTGTCTGTTCTTTCACCTAGTTATTAATTAATTAAAACGTAATTATCAAATATCTTCATAACTGAATGACGAAAAAAAATTGAAATGTTCAGGATAGGCTCTAGGGCATGAGTAGCATATATGGTAAAATTTTCAGGGAGATCGAACTTCAAAAAGTTTCTTCCAAAAAATTGACCTTTCAGAACCTTTAGACAGAGCTGAAACGAAAACGTTTGTCTTAATATTATTCTAGGGACTCCTACCATTGACATGAGCACCTTGGAATCAATTTCGAACTTTTCAGTTCGTTACCAGATCATTTGATCGGTAGTGAAGTCGTACTCAGTCATGTCGCTAACGTCGAATTAATTTTTGTTTTTCGAAAAGCCTAGACATGCTCAAAATAATTTTACACCAGGATTTGGTAGCCTTAGGAGTCGTGTCTAGTATTGCGTATTAAGTTTTCAGCGATTGTGCAGCACTTGGAAAATTTTTAAAACCCAAAGTACATCAAGTGACATAGTTGATGTACCTTTTTGTGTCACGTCGCTAACGCTAGTTTTAAGTTAATAACTCCTCTGAACAAAGCTCTAAAGTATTGATTTTTTCATGACATCTAGAGTAAATAGAGACTCGTATAACATGCAAAAATCACACCTAAACCAGTTGATAATTCCGAGATATGCATACTCCAAGTTTGCGATGTTACGTCGCTAACGAATGATTTAGCCCATATAAAAAGAAAAATAGATCGACCATATACTTATTCTTATTTCAGAGCAAAGTTTGAAACTCTAAAGAAGAATGTATTGCGTTCGAAACGCTAGTTACCGTATATATTATTATAAATTTCATATAATTTTATATAGTTGTATATTATTTTTTATACACTTGTACGTTATATTTTTATATATTTCTATATTATATATTTGTATATTATTTGTATGTTATAATTTATATTTAATATTTAATAATGAATAAAGGAAGAGATAATGATTGTCAAATGATTCTAGTTAACTATCAATCGAAGCATCCATTTATAAATTGAAAAATGCTTATATGTTATATTGATTTAAGATTTTCATTTTAGACTGCAGTACAAATCTGAAGTTTATCTTCAAGTCTTGATCCAAATTATTTTCTGATTTATAGATTTCCATCCTGGACAGATAACTGCCAAACTTTTCTAGAGAAGACGTGTATTTCTTACATTTATCTTTTCTCGTAAAGTAATTTGAAACCGTTGCAACTATATAGACTTCGTTGATTTATTTAAACATTGTGACGTTTTGTGGCATAGCTAGTTAGCAGTCTTAGTCCAAAAAATCACTTAGCGTTCAGATTTACAAGTAAATTCAATTTATTGTTTTCAATTTTATCACAAAAAAAGTTTGATATTATACAATACGACGATATATACACTGAAAGTAAAGCGAAATTTAAATGTATAATCTATTTATACGTGATTTTAAAACAATGAAAAGTAGTGTATTCGAAAACCTAAAGAAAACCACAAAACTACATCAAAGAATTTCATCCGAAGAAATATCATAGTATTTTACATCTACATTGCAATCAGCGTAAATCACTCTCACTATAGTTAGTATTTCGTATAATGGCACTGACTTATTCCTATCCTGACTTGATGTGATAAGTCTCATTAGAAAGATTTTTATCACCTGCAGAGATTTTCCAGTTAACGAAGACGGGCGTAAAAACCTTCTTAAAAATCTATATTGATAATACATCTAAACAATCATGCTCCTCTTAACAGTATTAACTAGTGCTTCATGCATACAAACCTTCTTATAACATCAAGTTTCTGTGAGTACACTATCAAATTGTGACACAGATTCCTGCACTTGTCAATTTCTGAAATGAAGTTTTTTATCATTTAATGCTTGCTTCTCTCTCATTCCACGGCCGATCCCGATCAACTACATCATATATATATATATGAGCTCTGGAGGACATCTATTAAGTTCGGTAATTTTCGAGAACAACAAAATATAAAAGCACTAATTTCTTGCTAAATGCACGACAAGATCTTGGTAGTGCTACTGCGTATTAATCGAGTCAATAAAGCTTGATTCGTGGAATTTTTACAACTCTGTAATGAAACTATTTCAGATAGTACGAAATGAAAAAACGTTTATTGATAGCAATATTTATTCTTGTTGCATGTCAATTGTCTCTGATGCTTACTCATCAATATTTTGGATATCAACTTAAAAAAAGCGATATGTCTAATTTAACTTCATTAATGATACCATTCGAACAAATGACTCGAAATTCAACATTCTGCTGTTCGGACGTTACACTTCAAGAGCAATATAAGATGGAATTTCAACAACTTGAACATTACCACTTAGGTCAATTTTATGAACAACCAACAATACATAAACATTCAAAACAACATATCGCATCAACATTGCCAGAATTACCTTATTTCTATTCATTATGGAAAACATCACCTATTCTTCCTCGTTTAATAACACCATGCGAGCACCAAGTATATGTCAAACTAATGAAGACATTCGATGAAATATGTCAAGCAAATGGAATAGAATACATGATTAGTTATAGTACCTTGCTAGGATCATATAGAAACCATGGTAAGATCCTTAAAACTTGATTTAAAATTTCTTTTTTCATTCAGACATCTCTTTCGAAATATCTATTATCGAAATAATAGTCAAGAAGGTATTTTGTCTAAAAGCTTAATAATAAAGTTATTAACAAGCGTCGATATATATGTCGTATTGAAGTTATTTGGACGCAGTAGACAACAACATTTCAAAGGGTAAGGATTAAAAAAAATGTAATGATTACATGATCGAGGGAAGGAAGTTTGTGAGAGTTGACACTTGATTTTTCCAGGGGGAGGAAGGTCAAAGTGGACAAGAAGTTGATGACGTACTACTTCAGTAGTCCTGATCATTTGAATGACATTATTAAACTTGATAGCAGTAGTTAATTTTTCTCCTAAACAAGAGACACTTATTTGATCAAAAAGTCAACAATATACGAGCTCTTTTGAAAAATTGAGGCAATACAATCTTTTTTGTCTTTTCATTCTTTCACAATGCGCTTAGAAAACGAAAAGCTCAGATATAGAAAAGGTCAGCGCAAGAATTGATGTGTCATACTTACGAATTCAAGTATAGATTGATAGTCGATGTGAACCATATGATTGCTTGTAAACTAAATATGACTCATGTATAGAGCAGGTATATAAGATAATTATAAAATTGTTACAACTTTTGCTATTGAAACTATTTGATAATAGAATTACAATGATCAGATCATTTTAATAGTAAACCCCTCCCCATATTAGAAGCCCCCGGGAGGCTTCTAATATGTCTATCATATGAAGCTTCTGGAGGGGGCTTCTATTAAGTCTCAAAAAAATTTCGTAAACTGCCAGGAAAAAGGGTTCTCAAGGGTTTTTAGCGACTTTCAAGGTTTTTATGAGTTTTCCAGAAGATTTTTGACATTATTTTCAGATGTTAGCTAAGCTTGATAAGAGTCATCCAACTTTTTACCTGAAAATCGAAAAATTTTAGCAGTTTTAGCATGAAAATGCGAAAAAAAATCTTGAAAATTTTAAAATTTTTTCGAAAAATTAGGGGGGCTTCTAATACGTCAAACACGTTGTTCATCTCAGAGGGGGCTTCTAATAAGGGGGGGCTTCTAATATGGGAGGGGCTTCTATTATGGGGAGGGGTTTAGTATGGATAGATGAATATGCGCTTAAAGTATTAAAATGTGATTGTAAGTGTAGTTGTAACACAAACAGATACAAATGTAAACAAGTGAATATATTATGCAATTCATGATGTCATTATGCAGCAAAATGTAGGAATAAATAATTTTTGATTTTAAACTGCCCACTTTCTTTCTGTATGTATCGTCTCAATTTTTGTTAATAGTTTGGATATAATTAAGTTTTTGATCAAATAATTGTTGCTATCAAATTTAATAATATCGTTCAAATAGTCAATGATTTTCGTATTCATTTTCGTCCAAATAACTTCGATAAATATGATAATTTCGATACGGTATGTATATGAGTGTAATGACACACAGTAACACATCAAAGAAAGAAAGAGAAAAACAAAAACAGAGAAAATTCCAAATAATGACTAAAATAATGACTAGAGAAAATCATCAGAATGAAGTGTTAAGAGACTTGGTACTTGTTGCTATTTCTTATAAATGGTTCATTCTGATGAAAAGTAGATATTTTAAAAATTTCAGTTCTTTTTTTATATGAAATATTCAAATTAAAAAACGTTTTCAAGAAGAGTGGAGTGGTTTTGGAAATAAAACTCTTTTACTTTTAATAAAAGCAATGAATGATTTAGCTGATCGGAGCTTAATTGTGTCTTTATATTAAGGGCAATTTCTTCGAAAAGCTACTGATTACAGTCCTTTCATGAAAAAACAAAACCTCTCTAACTAGTGAAATCACAATTTTACACCTTCGCATCTCTACCAGTTGTACTACTCATAGCTATAGATTCCTATGCGGCATACTTTTCTGTTATCCCAAATCCATACACTCAATCGTATGAAAAAAGAATTTTGCCTCGTAAAAGAGAATCATGGGCTTTCTTATATCATTTGTTCTATGTGCTAGTAGTTATCGTACGGTTTAATTTTAGTCAGATAACAGTACGCTCTTATTCATAATAAAAAAAAAGTTCGATTGATTGAAACGTATGAGTAGTACATCTACTAGATTTAGGTCAGAACAAAACTGTTTACAGCTAACGTGAACGACCATTCATAGATCTTATGTATAGTGGCATGTTACTTCACTGTTAACTATAGTTATTACTTGTTTTTTATCGGCTGAACTGAAGTTACTATAGCTATACGAACAAATTCAACTGCATAAATATATTTTTAAGTAGATTATATGTCTATTCAGTATAACTGCGGCATATTGTGTAATAAACAACATTTGTTGTGTTTTGCAAATAATTTAATTGGCAGCAAATACAGTATTTCTTTTTCTTTTAATATCAGTTAATTACACATTTTAAATAAAACCGTAAATAATGTAGAAAAGATTTCATTATTCAAACTTCTTCTTTCTTTTATTATTAAGATATACTACCATATGATGACGATGTCGATGTATTAATACATGTTAAATATTATTCACTTCTATCAAAAATGAATGCTTTATATAACAAAGCGGATTGGAAATTTTATCTACGCACACCTACATTTATGAAGTTTTATTTTCAAGCATCTTCTTTCGCCGGTGTTTTTAGATGGAAATGGCCATTTATTGATATTTTTTTTTATACGGATAATTCTACACATATTAAATCAGATATCTATATCGAAAAAGATATCATATTTCCACTATTATTACGTCCAATAGCTACTCTTTGGTTACCTGGACCGCGTAATGCGCTTAGGTTTTTTAAAAAGATATCGGAATATTATTATTCAAATTTATCATTTGATGATAAGTGTTATTTACAAAAATATTCACATCGAGATGAAGAAGAAAAATATGAACAGAAAGTTGTGAATTGTGCACAATTACATAATGTTTATCCATATATTCAACGAATATGCGATAATGATTATTGCAATGAATATTTTATGTTAAATGACATAACAACATTATATGTTCTGAAAATGACTAAAGATAAATAATAAAGATTTAACCTAGACTGCTTTGCGGATGTGGGGTGTGGGGTGTGGTTTTGAGTCTTCGCTTGACCCACCCACACCCAATATGTGTGCCTAATTCGAATTATAAATTCGAATAAAATTGATCTTTTGCTTTGGCTAAGTTAGCATAGAGGATTGCTTCATTTTTTTTATTTTTGAAGTGATTCTATGCAGTTGAAGTTTCATTTATATTCGAACTCGAATTAGGCATCTCATAAGTTTATCGATTCATTACTCTCTTCGTGAGCGACCAGCATTATGAAAAGGCTAGATATACTAATTACAGCAATATTTAACTGCCTTATGCATTGTAATTTACTGTCGAAATATACATTTTTCAGGAATGATATAGCGTTAGTCGTAACATATTACGTATTTCAACAGCTTTTTTGAGAAAAATACTGAATACCTTAATATGATCTTAATATAAAGGAACTGTAGTTAGAACAACGCATTAAAAAGAAAGTGATTGAGATGGATCCATTGCAAATGAAACAATGCCATTCTGTTTCACTATATATGTTTTATAAAAGCATGCTCAGACTTAACAACGAAGACAATCGTATACAGACCAAAGTTCTACAGAAGGTATGGGATGTGGATGTGGTTCTAGGTGTCGATTTAGACGAGATTTGCGCACTTGCTCACATAATACACCCATTCCACATACAATTTTTGTATTTCTTTGTAAAATTAAATATACCACAAGTGCTGGAAAGCTATGTCTACAAAGTAGCATATGAAAGGTGCCGAAAAGGTATTATCTTCAATTTTCTTTAATGCAAAATGCTACATTGATAAACATAAATATAATATTGAATTCAGAAGCAGTGGGTAAAAGGGGCTTGACAACTTTGACAGCCCTTGATCCAACCTTATACGAAATCGCTGTTCTCGATAAATAAGTTATTCACGAGAAAGACTCCGAAACTCCATGGCACACACCTAGCATTAATCGCTTAATCACCCCACTTACGTGCAATGTTAAATGAAACAATTAAACTCGACGCCAGTTAAGAACGATTTACCAATACACAATATAAAGTGATTAGGTGTCAGCCTTGATCTAATTTCTTCTTAGTATTAACGCATGATTCAAACCACTTAGAGTGCCTTTTAATGTAGTCGATTTATCAAAAATTGTCCTGCTTCAGAAAGAACACCAGGTAATCTTCAAAAGGTTATAGTGATTACGTCTAGACAAACCTTAAAGAATTATGGTGATCATCTTAAGATAGTTCTTGAAAAACTATACGGATTAGTCCTAGTCTATTTTAAATTAACTTCTATTTGATAAAAATGTCAAAAGAAAATAATATTTTCTTCATTTCAATCACCTAATCACTTAATATTAATGAATTAAGGGGTTAAGTGAAAAAACTTAATTTTAAATTAAGTGTTAAGTGGAACACTTAATTAAGTTTTTCAATTAAGTTTCGTTAAAAACATGGTCCATCCCTGCCCCCCCCCCCCACTATTCTAGAGTATAACTCACTCTGAAATTGCACTTATAAACTAGAATGCGAGGTGTTTAAATGTGATACACAAGTGCAGTGTACTGCTGATAAGCTCTATCTTGATTTGAGTGATAAAAAACAGAATATGTGAAAAAGAAAAAGCGAGTCACTCTTGTATCGACAAAGCAAGGTAGGTTTGTTTGTGTGAGGATTGAGTTGAATATGATAATTGCATCTGGACATTTCGCTAATATTTGTTTAATCAGATAAAATTCGATTTTCAATCTTCGCAAGAAACATTATCATATTTGATTACCATGTAAAGTGCGTGAAGTGGCCTAGTCTCGACACATAAAAACCATTCTAAACTTCCTAAAATAGGTTATTTCAATCTCGTATGAAACCCATCTTTTCTTCGGTTCGTTTACTTCCCAAAGCAATTGCTGGCTTTTCAAAATGTTGCACTGCTCTGAAACTAAAGACTAGTCATAGTTGGTTAGAATAGGTTGTTTTCAAGTCTCTTCTGGTTCGTTTGACGTACTCATTCGAATGATTGAAGATATCGGCAATACATCTCTGTATCTATTGTAGTTGTGCATACAAAGCATAAGATCTGACATGACCTCTTATACAAACTCGTCAGCTGATGATCTTGCAACAAAGCACGAGTAAGTTCTCACATTTTATTCACTATAAATATGTCGAGTGAGTAAATTGTTCTGTCAGGAAAAAGATTACTATACCACCATCGATCTTAGCTAAGGCAGACACACCCATTGTGGTTATTCTGAGTCCAGAATTGAATGATACATACTCTGATGATTATTGGCGATTATCTTTCGACCAACTGGCTTCCAACTTTCAGATGCTTGGTGCACACGTGATGACAACGCCGTGGTCCACTGCACCCCTTGCTCTTGACTCTTCTCGGTCTTCGATTCGCTATGTAGTTAATCTTGCTTGGGGTTATCATACTGCTGCAGATCGTTGGGAAGCATGGCTTCGTGCTTGGCCAAAAGACGCGATATTGATTAATTCTCCACCGCTCCTTCTGTGGAATACTCGCAAAACATATTTGAAAGAATTGGAGAAAGCTGGTATTCCAATCGTTCCAACACTGTACGTCGAAGATATCAATGAGAAAACACTGGTTGATGCTGCAGCACATTTTGCTACTGCTGATCTCGTCGTCAAACCTCAAGTATCTGCATCTGGTTTTAATATGTTACGTATTTTGGTTGACAATTCGGACTTTGCTTCATCACCAAGTAAAACCAAAGAGAAGAAATGAACTGTGTTCTAGTCTATATACTTTTTCTGTTAAGGATCAGTAAGTGTCACTACAGCACTTAATGAATTAATTCGCTTGGGTATCGCTCATTCAGCAGCGATGATCCAACCGTTCATGCCAAATGTTGTTCGCGAAGGTGAACTGTCGTTACTCTTATTTGATGGACAATTGAGTCACGCAGTTCGAAAAATTGCTTCAACCGACGATTATCGCGTACAGCACGAACATGGTGGTATCACAACTGCTGTGGATCAACCGTCGGCTGAAATGCTCGAATTGGCTCATGCTTCGCTAGCCATCTGTCCTGAAACTCCTGTCTATGCACGTATCGATATGATACGTAATCACCTGACTGGACGCTTGAGTATTATGGAACTTGAACTTATCGAACCCGATTTGTTTTGGAAACATGCACTCGATGGAGGCATGAGATTCGCACGTGCCATCTTGCAAGTTCGTTCCCAGAATTGATCAGAATATGGATATTGAAACATGACTTTACAAATGCTCTCTATATTTCTACTTGGAACCAGTCATTCTGCTAAATAAATTTGAGAAGTAAAGAGTGTCAATGTTAAGTAAGCGAGCATCTAGGGCGTCGTCGTCGGCACGGTTGTGAAATAGCTCTCTAATTCACGTTCTGTTTACACTTCATTGTAGTCGTGACTTGATCGATGAGGCGATTGAGTGTTCTATAGTTTATTTGTCATAAAAGACAAACTCTGTTGTACCAGTAGACTGTCGTTTCATCTGTAAATAACTCCCTTAGTCGTGTATATTACAGCTGACATTTTAATAAACTTTCACAAAGCTGAATTGAAAAGGCAAATATATTCAATGAGATTCATCCAGATGATAGAAAGATAAAACATAATACTATTCATCTGGTTTTCGGCTCATCCTCAGCAAAAAATGAGTATTTTGCATCGATTAATGATACATTTTTATAGATAACAAAATGAATGGAAACTGCTTCTCACTTGACGAGTCGGGTGTTGGTTTATCTTTCCTGCATCCAAATAAGCAAGTCCATACCCGTTTGGCATCAACATTGAATTCTATTTCAGCATTATGGCAACAAAAAAACCTATACTTAATGAATACATCAAACTTTATAAGTCGAAAGATACCAAGTGAATCCGGAATCATTTGTCTTTTTGTGAAACTTGAGATGATCACCTCTTTTCCTTGCTGTTTATGAAAGAAACTAAATAGTATGCTTGTTCATAAAAAGTGCATGTCTAAGAACTGCACTATGACTGGAAATATTTGCTGGATATCGGTTAACTTCGGACCGGGTCCGGTTTCAAAAAACCGTACTAGTGCAGAGTAGTATTACAAGGAATGGATGGAGATCTAAACTGGCCAATTTATTGATCATTTAACTTTTGAACAACTCTAGGGATTTGAATAGAAATCTGAACTGAAGCACCATAAAGTGTTGTAGCAAAGAACTGATCAATAACGATAAAGTTATTACCACTCCTGTCTTATTATGGGGCATGTAATATTCCTATGCAAAAAAAAACAAAATGAACAATAGCATATCGATAATGACACAAGTTTGCATATTTCCATCTGACTAGGCGTAAAAAATAGTTCTCTGAGTTAATTTTTACTACGACATATGGATTAGAAATTGAGAAAAAGTAAGGAAAAAATGAAAGCAATAACTATTATTGCGGGTGTGGATATCGGTTATGGTCTTTTCTAACAGCCACAACCATACTCGTACCGACACTCTCCAACACCCTATTTGATTTATGCAAATATGATTATGCCTTTATGCATATACTAACATTCTATCGAGTTTTCTCTGAATTTTATAGGTGAATCATTGTCATAGTCTTTTTAAACAAACTGATATCAAGACAATTGATTTGGACTGAAGATCTGCTATATTCGATCTTGTAGAGAAAGGATTGCTCTATTACATGCATTCTATCACTATGCCAAGGAATTCGGCTTATTAGAATACTGTTCACAACAATATTTTGCAAAAATCACGTATGTAAGGTTAAATGAGGAGAAGACAATTAGTATGTTTGGTCAAGATTTGCTTCAAAATTCTTTAGCACCTCCTTCTCTAGATATCAAGCAATAAGAATCGATAGATAGAAGTACTAGATTCTGAGTGACTAATACATAATTGAAATAGTGAATAACTGAAATGTCACTTCATATATTGCCCCAAAATTTCACTCAAAATAGATCAAGTGACAACAACTCATCTTGCTCATTTCACTTCAAATTATGTCATAAATCTTAATTCAAAATATACCAAAGTGATCAACTCAAATAGCTCTATTAATCCTGAAAGTTTCAGCCAGATTGGAGAACTTTGTGTAAAATGTGTCTGATTTCTCACGAAATCACCCAAGTGAGATCGAAATGTGTTTTTTGGGGTGTTCTTGTGCGTGTGAATGTTGGTGTGGGTTTGTATCATTTGACTGCCTATAGTCACACCCACCGATACCCTAGATTTTTGTCAAAATATCGACATAAAAGTATTAATTTCCTGCTCAATTATTTTGTTCTAGCATATTCGTATTCAAAATTAAAGTCTCTGTATTGTTTATTTCTTACGCTCCAGATTATCAGAGGAAATCAAGCTCTGAAATAGAGAGCACGAAGGTATATATAATAAGTGATGCATAATGAGCAGATTGATTTCATCTTCGTTCTTCGAACAATGCAAATTCAATCCAAAGATTTCGTTCTAGGTTTATTCCAGAGAGAATTTTTTACTCTATCAGCCCAAATTATACTGAATTGATTGAGAACCGATTGATTCATGTTCAGTTGACCGAATTTGCTTCTCTGTAAGCATCGACATTTTGCCAAAAAAAATAATTTTGAAAATAGTAGATGCAACATCATTGATGACATACTCTATTTGGTGCATGAAATCAAGTTTTTTTACGTGATACTAATGATTTAGAGAATTGCTCGAGCGTTTTTCAGTGGACGCGATATGTTTGTGAGTATAGATGTGCCTGATGAAAAGACGCACTCTTGCGCCCACAAATTGATGCGAGTGTAGACGTTTTCTTCGTCTCAAGTTTCTTAATGAGTTTAAAGAGCTTCATTTTACCAGATTGACAGAATGATATTGTTGCTGTCTGTAGAGACACTGTAAGCTTTGGTGGACAATGTCAGTAGCTCAGCAAGCAGAAGCACAAAGATATTTAAAAAACATAAAGTGCAATCATCATCATTTCGCTTTGGTATTAGCTTTAAATATACTATGGCTCATGGTTGCACAGTGTTGAGGTAGAAAAGAAGAAGTACACCATGTAGAGTTAAATGAAGAGAACGAGTATATAAATAACAGTACAAAATCATATATTAGATAGTTTCGATCGCGAACATACAAATAGAATAAACAACCATCAAATAATCGACAAAAAAAACAAACCTCAAAAACATGAATATAGCATTCACCATAAAATCGAATTCCACTTGTGAATGTGGATGGAGAAAAGACCCACACCCATACCCTCGGTGACTATTATGAAGATGAGTAGCGTCATTCAATGTTAGCCAAATAGAGAAAAAGAAATACAGGGCTTCTCGAAACTGACTTGACTAAGTGTGGTACTTTTTTTATTTGTAAATGATAAATGTTCTCTCTAACTTGACATAGTCCTTACTAGATTCTATATCGACAATACCAATAAAAAGGTGACGTTATTTCTTTCTCTTCCTTCTTCACTTGTTCAGTTTTTTATAAAACCAAAATTTTTATTATTGAAAGCTTCATCTATCGTTCTCAATCATGTCAAATAAGATTAATCAGTATAACATTTCTCCGATTTACATTATTAAAACAAGTTTAAATATAATTTTTTCATTGAAACGAGAAATATTAGTAGTTTTCAATAACATTAAGCACCGATTTATTATCCGATTAATTTCTGAAAATCAAGAATAAATTTCGCATCTTTTTTATTTAAATAAATAAACTAAAACTCAATTGTTGATGTCAATAGAAATGTTTATCGATTTGAATAAATTTTTTTAATAATTCAATTAGATCAGCATATTTCTTAACATCAATGAGATAGGATTGACTGAAATATGTACTTTTTTCTTAATGTCTGTCGAATCAATTAGAAATTATTATAATTATAATCAATCATTCAATTTTTATTTCTTTTCTTTCATATAATCACTTTATCAAAGACCATTAATATCCGTTTTAAACATTTGATCATGCATGATCCAGATTAATATCGTTAACCAACTTCCTATAAATATAATGACTTTGTTATAACTAGACGTTGTAATTGAGCACTAGAGAGATATGCTGCATTACCAGTTAAATTTTTTATGTTAGAATTGTTAATGTTTCATATTCGATATCAAGACTTAACAAACAAGATGAATACATTTTTGTTTCAAAAAAGAAATTGTTTAACATAATCAATATGTGTTCAATTTAAATAAAGTTCGGCGAGATGAGCAAATATGATCAATATAGATAAATATTACTTGTTTAATTATAGATAATTTTTGAAGAAAAAGAAAGTCTTGAGAAATAATTTTGAAATAATTCATTTCAATCATTACTAACCATTGAATGTTATTGAACTGAAATACCTAAAAATGGATAGTTTTTAACATAAGAATCAACTTGGTCCTTTCTTCTTGCGATGAGAAATCAATTTTTACATTTCTATTATAAACCATAGTTGATGCACTAAACACAAAAAAATTAGATGGTCATTTTGTAGATGAATACAATCGATACAAGTTGATTTGATTCTTATTATCGAACGAAGCAATGTTATTATTTTAAGATTTGACATTTGACAAAACTATATCTAACATAAAAAAAAGAAACAAAAAAGTATAAATACTTTTAATTATCCTAATAGACAAATAGGACAAATATTCATCAAGAAGACGAAGATAATCATCGAAAAGATTGCAATAAATGCTTAATGTAGTTAAATTTGAAGATGCATAAATGGTTGATGATAGAATAGAAATCAAAGTTGTTAGGTTTCGACCAATGAATCATTGACTAAATATCTAATCATTCAGACAGTTTCATATCAACATAATTAATGCAAACATATTTTATTATTTTTTCATAGCTGTATCTTATGTTATTTCCTCGTCATTTGCTACATCCGGAGATGTTATTTATTCAGTAATAAGATGACGAAGAATTGTATCACCTTAAATAAAGTAATAAAAATTTTGTTGTTGTTGAAACTTCACAAGTCATAACAATTGAAGTTGAGAAGACTCAATAGTATGACGAATACGTTGCATTTCCATGAGTTTGGTCCAAAACTTCACTCTCTATTAGAAAAATACATTCAACAATGATTTCTACTTCAAGGTCATATCACGAATATAAAGACAATCAAGTATTAATTGATCAAATTCTTGGATCGAGAAGAGTAGTCTTCTTGTTGTTGTTTATAATGTTTATATTTGAATGAATGTTGTACATTTGCGTTTATTGTTTTCTCTCTATTCACATTGATACCTTCGTCACTATCCGCAACAATACTACCATTGTTATGTTAGATAATGATGAATGCCTAATGTGTTTTTTTGCTTTCGATTCGTATTTTTTTTTTCATAGCTAAGGTATTGATGCGTTTCATCACCACATTTGTGTCAATATAAATATTATAAATCATATGTAATCTATGAGTAAGCTCTCAATGTTATTTTTCAACAAACAACATGACCAAATTATTTCGTTTAAAAACAAGTTAAAAAGCATAAACAATAACAAAATCGTCGCTTACAGATAATATTTGTGTACAGATACAAGTCTCATCTTCTGTCACACGGACACACAGGCACATTTACAGTTCAGCTTTTCAGAAGAATTTTTTCAAATCTTTTATGAAATTATCAATACACTAATTTTGTAATGGCGAAGAAAAAAAATTTTTTACTACATACATTTTTCTTGTCAAACCTTTAAAATATATGAAACTTAATCAAAGTTTAATGAGTTTTGTTTATTTTTTTTTCAAGATCAACGAAATAAAACATCTTTTTTTTTATTATTAAACTTTTCGAACGTATGTCTTTTGTATATGTCAGATAATCACAATGAAATTTAGGATCATAACTTGTCAAAACTACAAATCAGAGGAGATTATTTCCAGATGCACTAGTAATACTTCGTTAAATTATAGCTCATAAAGCAAAGAATATAAAAAGTAATCAATAAAAAATAAGTTAGTGATTTGAACTTTTATTTGAAATGTAGAATCAATGATCACAGCGGCTATATTTTTCTAAGTATGGATATATAAAAAGATTTAGTTTATCAAAAGGATACAAAATAACATTAGAATGCGTTACAAAGCTTAGAAGATATTGTTTATAAACTAGATACTTAAAAAAACGTTCATTATCTTTATGGACAAATCTTGTCGATTTACTCATGTGTCACCGATCTAACAACCAAAGCAGAGGTTTTATAATTATGTTCTGGTAGCAGTGTTGCGGTTTCGGCATCAAGCTTTATGATTGGTGCGGCATCATCGTTTGGTTTTTCCATCGTTTTTGTAGTTCTAAAAAAAAACGTGATAAAAAAAAAGCTTTATTTGACCGTAAAACTTACTGATCATTTTGTTTAGTATTATTGGTAGTTTGTTGAGTTGCCTCGTCCATATCGAAATAGATCCAAAAATGAATGACTAAAAGGAAAAATAACACGAAATAAATAAATAAGAAATAGTATTATTTTTTTGTTTCTTTATTTTCCACCAATCGATGGAGATATAATTGTAGGTAAAAGTAAATGCAATGACTCAATCGATGTTATCTTTTTTTTTTACGCTTCACGTGTAGGTTTTTCTGTGTACATAACATTTTCAAAATAACATATTACCTATCATGTCCATTTCAAAAAAAAAAGAGGGACGGCATTTTTTTTTCTAATAATTTTCGATCGAAATAAGATAGAGAGCTGTGGTTTTCATCTTTAAAAAGAGAAAATAAAGATGCATCGATTTGTACATGACAAGTCTTTTTCAACTTGGTTTTTGTGTAAGATTTCAATTGTTATTTTCGAAAAAAAAGTATCCTAATGAGGTGACTACACTAAATTTTGAACTATCAGGTTTGAATCCAAACTGCCAATGGAAGACCTAAGAAACTACACAAGTTTTAGATTTTTAGATTTAGTTATTTAGGAGTCATAAATAGGCAAGCTGAAATTGTTGGTCTATTTTTCAAGTAATTGCCATGAACAAAAATCATATTTTAGCTTTTGTCTTATGTTCAAAGAAATTATTTTTCTCATCTTAACATGCTATTTCAAACAAAAAAAAGCTATTGGCTACAATTAAACGCTTTAGAAAATTCTGGAATGCACGATCAAAAAAAGCACAACCAAAGAAATCATTAAAAAATTTATCAAAAAAAAAGATGCCGAATAAAAATACCTTGTTGTTTCTGAAAGATCAAACAAAGGACTAACTTTCCTTACATTTATTTTGATTTAAATCACTCTGACGAACATAGACCCTTTTTTTTTTAGAGAAAGGTCTTGAATTACTCATTTAACAATAAACTAAACTTGCAATACAAAATCTCAGATGAAGTTTGTCTAAGAAGAATGAAAAAAAAAATCCTCAAAATTATTAATATTCATATTTTACTACATGTCAATTACAATTGCACGAAGCACAAAGTTAACTGTAGTTGTTGTGACGATGCTTTCATGGTGTATTATTACTTTTCATTTCTCTCTTCGAACAGGAAATTTCAAAACTATAAATAACTTGCGGCATGAAGTAAAAATAAAGACATTGAAACGACAAAATTCTCTACCCCCACGCACTCTAAAACAATCATACATTTGAACAGAACAAACATATTCAACATTTTCACC